CAAGAGGTCATAAAGCAGCAACTGGACCTGATTCTCAAAAATCAGCAAAAACAAAGCAGTACTCTGCAGCGGGAGGAAACTCCAGATGCAAGCACATTTGACCTTCCTTTGTCCAATTTATTTGATTTAGAAAAGCTTGAACATCAACTAGGAGCAGCCCGAACAAAGGAAGAAATTGGTAAGTTCAAGCTCTTTTATATTTTATAGTATTTTTTTTATATTAAGTTTAATTTAAACCGTTTGTTTTTGCTTCATAGGTAGCCTACTTTGGAATTATTGGTGGGTTTTCCACTAAAGAAGCAGTGTGGCGTATCCTAGGAAAGCTTTTGGTCAACTCCTTGGCTAAACAAATGAACTGGAGTGGGGCAAACCAAAAAGTGGCTTTTCGTGCACTCACCCTAAGGACTGTCGTAGTCAGTAAGTTGATTTGAAATATACATTTCAATACATTTAGTGGCTGTTATTCATCTGTGCCAAAATACCTTTTATGCAGAATGTGTATTTAAATCATTAACCAGAGGAACAAAGAATCTTTATATACTATCATTTTAAGTCCCATTTAGGTTTTACTTATGTGAGAGCAAACATGATTATCTTTTTTCTTCTTTTGATTAACATTTGTACTTGTTCACAACAAATCATCTGTTTATCTTTTAATCACAGATGCAGTGAGGACAAATGCCCATACCAACAGCGCTACTGATGAAGAGGTGGAGAAATGCATTACAACTTGCTCCTGATAGAGATGGAGGAAGGAAAAAAAGAGAGCAAGACAATGTGTCAAATGTCTAAATCACTTTAATTTTTTATATATTTAATTTTAAAACAACATTTGAAGTGTATTAAGATGTTCCCTGATACTTGGACAATTTCTCTCTCTCTCTCTCTCTCTCTCTCTCTCTCTCTCTCTCTCTCTCTCTCTCTATGTATATATATATATATATATATATATATATATATATATATATATATATATATATATATATATATATAAAGAAATAGCACAAAACATCTTGCCTAAAGTTCTAAAGTTTACAAATAAGCTTTTTATATATTATGTTATATTTGCTCTTTGTTAAATTGGTTTCTGTTCAGGTTTATATAAAAAAATAGCTGTTTTAAGATGTCTTGTGCAATTTCATATATTTTTACATGGTTATTTTAAGTTGTTTCCTTTCTTTAATGTCTTTTTTTCACTTTTAAAGCTTTTTCTTAAAGTCTATTTGGAAACGTTTGTGCAGGTGCAATTTCAGATTTATATATATTTTTTCTTTAAATCTTCCTGTTTACTTAAATTTGTTTATTATGTGTCATTATTGTGCAGTTTATTGTTATTTCTATTGAAAACCATAATTCCTGTGCAGTATAAAATGTATTCAATTTTACTCCTATTTGTTTAATACTTGTTTAATCAATAAACGTTTTTATTATTTATTGCATCCTTTGTTTGATTATTTGCAATGTAGGACATGTATGCTGTTTGCAATTTATTCAAAGGTTAAACGCAGTGCCTACACTTTGCGTTTACTTAGTAGCCTGCATTTACTGTTATATCAACACAAATAGTCTATATTTTGAGACACAAAGTTGTGACTACATTGCTCTGGTGGCTTAAACTAAATTATATATATTTTTAGAGATACAACTTAGATAAAGATTAATTGAGGGATGTTAACAATAACAATGGTTCTAAGGTATTTTCTGGATTACATTTTTAATTAGCTCCCAGTAATCTAAAAAGGTCCACATATTGATAAATAATGTTATGGAAGCCGTTTTAACATTTAATATATGATTAAATTGCCTCTTGTTACAGTTATGAAATAGTTTGGCAATAAGCAGGAAATGTTCCTAGGCGAATGACATGACCACAGTATTGAAATGGCCTGAAGAATAAGACGTATATGCATGCAAAATACAATATAAACATAGGAAAGATAGTCAAACTGAGAATCAAAGTTGCTATTGCTTATATACTCAAAAGATGGCGCTACAGGGATCCAAATCCTAACAGAATTATTATTATTATTATATTCTAGTGCTTCACGGAAATCACGCACTGCACGTTTAATCAAGGAGTTGCATATGGCTGCACGGTGGCGTTACTGTGTTTTTCATTAATTTAACTTCTTTGTTTCATTGTAAATAGAAAATGTCTTCATACCTGCTGATTTGTTTAATTTTGTCAGACATTTTATGTTCTGTTTGTTAGCTGCCAAAACAATAAAATACAAAAAAAAAAAGAATTGATTTGCTTTTTATTTTTAATAACAGTTCAGAATACTGATTAGTTTTGGTTAAACTACAATAACGATATTTTACATACCATTAATGTTTATGCAGGAGCTATTATGCTGTGAGTACAGAACTACAGTACAGTAATTTACTGTAAGCAGTTTCTAGTTAGTTTCCGCTACTGCTCTGTTACAGTGACTAACACTGTTGCCAATATTCCACTGTAAAAAAAAAAGTAATACCTGGTAAGGTCTAATACATTTATTACAGTATTTATTCTTTGGTAACATTATTTATTGTAAATAAAGTTTCATTGTTAATTCATGTCAACTCACAGGACACTAACTAATATTAACAACTTAATTTTAATAATGCATTAATAATAAAGTAACATGAAATAAATCTTGCAGACATTATGAATTAAATATTTATTGGTCAAATATTTATTAATAACCTTCATTTAAATAATATTTTTAATAAAAAAAAACTTTCAATGTCTTGAAGTGGCTGAATCTACTTTCACTAAAACACATTGAAATGAAAAGATTATTTCATTAAACATCCAATACCTATGGTCCTGAGGAAACATAAAAAGAAAGAAGTGACCAGTTAAAAGTTATTGATTATCCTGAATTGAATTAATACAAATTATTGAGAAAATTTAATGTTTAATATAAAAACAATTGACTCAATAGTTATCATAAATAAAGATTTCAATTCATCATTTTGTTAAATGTGATAAGCAAGTAAACACTTAGAAAAATAATCTACAATACAAAGAAATTCATACAGATTTAATGGCACAAAGGTGTGTAAATGATGACAAGTTTATTTTATGTGTGAATTATCCGTTTATTTTAAAGAATATACAGTTTATTGTATTCAGGGATGGGAAGTATTTACCATTTTTGTAATTTGTTTTGTAATTTGTATTTGATAGATTTTATGAAAATGGCCTAATATTAAGTTTTAAAATACTTTAGTGTCTTGTTTTTTGTATTTTAAAATATCATAAAAATGTGGCCTCTGGTTGAATCTTTCTTAGTTATTTGCATAGGCTTGAGATCAAAACAGAAAACTGATTAAGAAGGTGGTGAATGCTTTGAGCATAGATGGAAATTATGCAACATAAAGAAAATAACAGACAAATGGCAACAAAAGTCAACAATCATTAAAATAGTATACTGCACAATGCTGGGACCATGTAATGGCAGTAGTGTACAATTTGACATCAGCATCTTTGCTTAATAAATAAGATATATGAATAAAATATCAGGATTTAAAATATTAAGAACAGGATGAAGAACTTACAGAACATTCCCAGCACTACAGGTGCAAATGCTGAGAAATTTTAGAAATATTTAACACCTAAAGATGGTAGGTAAACTGAGACTCTTCCAGAACTGAAATGGAATGCATGGAAACATAATGAAGAGATATAGTGCAATATTCCAACTCTTAATCTGCATTATATGGTTTTTACAGTGATTAAACATTTTCAAGACAGTATTTTTTGTATGAAATTTGTACAAAAGCAAAGAGAAAAAAAGGTTTATGAATACCTCCTCATGTACTGAAGTAGAGATGAATGAGTTGGCAGAGAACTTGCTCAGAGAAACACTGTTGCTGTCAAACATTGTCTGCCAGGCCACTGAGTCAGTTAAAGGGTGACAAAATTGATCATATAGTCTATTAACAGAAGGTTTGCCAAGAGATATTATGCTCCCTTGTAAAAGGATTTTATAGTATATTTATAATACAAAATACAGTATTTTATTTTGGTAGTTGTTGTGGCTGCTGTATTTTGTCGTTTATTTTGATACATGTAAAAATGAGGTATTTTGTATTTTATTTTAAAATTAATTTCAATGGGTTTTTGGCCATCCCTGATTGTACTTTAATATGAAACACCGAAGATTTTTAAAAATGAAAAAAAATCCTCAAAATAAGACTCTTAAAATTTCCAGGAGGTGGTAGTAAATACACTTACATATCTTTAAATACTATTACATTTTACTCCACCTTAAGTATTACTCCACCCTGACAGTTGAATATATATAAAGTCAGAATTACCCCCTGTTTATTTTCCCAAGAGAGCAGATTTTTTAAAAAAAGGCTTTTTTTTAAAAAAAGGCTTAACTATAGGTTTATTAGGTTAACTAGGCAGGTTAGGGTAATAAGGCAGGTTATTGTATAACAATGTTTGTTCTGTAGATAGCTTAAAGGGGCCAATAAGTTTGACCTTGAAAAAAAAAAAAAAAAATATATATATATATATATATATATATATATGTATATATATATGTATGTGTGTGTGTGTGTGTGTGTGTGTGTGTGTATAAAATATATAATTATATAATAATTAATTAATATATATATATATATATATATATATATATATATATATATATATATATATATATATATATATATATAACAGTTAATTTAATTGTATAAAATAATCTTTATATTGTTACACATATGCACAAACTAACCTGCAAAACAGTGAATAAATTACCTTTTATAGGTTCCTTTTAGCCAGTGGTGTATAGCTGTATGCAGTGGTCTATTAGTATTATTCATACTCGAATTATACTTGATTATACATTGCATTAATTTGTGATTCATTACTTTTCGACTTCCTCTCCTGAAATATCCAATAGAAACAATGAATATAGATACCGGTCGTCATTGACCAATAGGAATAAGCTAAAAATGGTTTGCCATGAAGTTGATTGGCTCAATTCATCCCGAGCCATGTGCGCCGTACGTCAGTGCGCGACTCCAGTGCTGCACGATGGGTGGAATTAAAGAGCTAGCGATTCTTACGCTTTCTTTTTTGTATTTTACATTTGTGAATGCTACCGATGATATTTTGGTTGGCTGCGGGGGGTTTGTCAAGTCAGATGTGGAAATTAATTACTCTGTCATTGAGGTAAGAAGGCTGGTGATTTCTGTTTAAAAATGATTAGTGGCTAGCTACGTTAGCGCTTGGCGTTCCGGAAGTGAATTGATAGACCGATCTGTATGTCATCTGCTGCCCTAAACAGTGATGCATTTAGGTTGTAGATCGCATAATCTGGTGATCCGTCTGTAGCAGGTTGCGTGACGGCTACCTAACCAAACTGTCAAGCATTGTCAGCAAAACACATGATTTGTCCAAGCTTGTGTAATTAGCTTTGGCTAACGTTAATCACTTTAAGATTCCATACAGTCTGACGACCAGTACAAGAAGCTCGTTGTAGTAATAGTGATGTTGTTGTTTCATTTCGTTATGTATGTGTTACTAAATAAGTATGATTTTAAAGGTAACACCGTTACATTGTCAAAAAATAAAATGTATTACTTATGTGTTCATTACAGATAAAGTTGTACACCAAGCAGGGTTCTCTGAAATATCAGACTGACTGTGCACCAATCAATGGTTACTTCATGATCCCACTGTATGACAAGGTACAGTAACTCACGTACTGGAATGAATGGATTGACTGGGTGGATTATCAGGCTTTCAAGGTCATTTAAGAATGTCCTGCAACATGTAGTTTATACAGAATTATAAGCAATTGTTTTCTTATAGATCAAATAGATTTTACACAAAATAAAGAAGACTTTTCAGATTGTTTTTTAAAGACATAAGGTAATGTAGTCCAATCTGCATGTTTCCTGTTTTGTCTGGTTAAAGGAATTAGTAAACAAAGGCAAACTATCTTCTGTAAAAATATTATAGTTGGTTTTACATTCGACTGTCTTCTTAATATTGTATTTTCAGTAAAGTATTACTTGCATATTCTTTATAGGGAAATGATATTAGCAGCCAAAGACTAACAAAGTGCAACATTGTTCAGTCAATGAAATAGTGCTAATGTTGTTTTGAAGACATACTTGCATGCTTTTTCTGACCGAATATTCAGTTGCATGGTAAACAATATAGTGACAAGTTGTCACTGAACAAATATAAAACCAGGGTGCAAATTACAGGGTGGGTTGGGGGGGGGGGATTCACTCCCCTAATCAATGCTTGCCGAATAGTAGGAAATAACTTTTGTCTGATCTATAGCTTAAATATTAATAATAAAAGTTATATAATATAAATATACATTTGATCCCCCATATAACGGTTCATACCATTGTGAATGCAAAATCGTGCCAACCAATGTTAGAAAAAATATAATTGAACAGTCTGAAACTGGCAGTTCTAGAGCATCGATAGACATCTTAAATATTTACAAAACGCATTTCTTGTAAAGATAGGTGTTTATTTCTTCATGTTGCCTAATAAAAAGTAGATAGTCTACATAGTTTGACCTACAGTAACCTCTAAAATAGTCATTGAATATCCCTCAAAAAAATGACAATGTAAAGATTTTTTTTTGTATTCCGCTCTTTCTGTATTCATAATCTTTTTTCATATTTGGTATGTATAAAAGTTTCAAAATAATCTATAAAAATTAGGCTTAAAGTATTTAGAAAGTTCTAAAACTCAAACATTTTTTAAATTGTAAATTATTTCTCATATTATTCTGGTAAATGCCCCCAAACAATGCTAGCCCTATCAATGCTGTCTCATTGTTAATGAACATGTTAACTTCTTGTCCAGAACTGCTTAAAATCATTTGACTTTTTACTGTTTTTGTGAAAAATTGACTGAATTGAACAGTTTGTAAGAATTTTGTTTACTTTCATATAGTTTTTGTCAGAATTTTAACAAAACTACAGTTTAATCAGAATAAATATAATAAGGTTTATTATTTCAATAAACTGCAAATGCTTTTTAATAGGAGTCCTGAAACAAAGACACTAAACAAAAACCCAGATTAATAGTGAATTTATGACGAATCAAGAAATGAAATGTGTTCTGCAGCCCAAATTTGCACAATGCTGATGCTTCCCCTGTGGAGTTTAAGCCAATCTCATATTGCCAGAGGACTTGCAGATTGATGCAAGGATCTCTGATGGTGTAAATTGGGGCAAAATTTATCCTTGACATGCCTGTCTATTTTTAACTGGGACGGAAGTTGAGTTGGGAGTTGTCACACTCATGCAATTTAGTATTTCATCTTTTACACCAGCAGCTTCACTTTAATTCACACCATCAGAGAGGCAATTTCAGCATCATTGACAGCATTAGGCCCCTGTTTGCACCTGGTAATGAGATGCATTTCCGTTGATCCAATCTCAGACACAATACTGTTCACATCTACTGTATGTGTTTCACTTGTTCCCTGCTGATTGGTGTTGGATTTCTCTTATTGTAGTACTGCAAATGCTAGCACAATTTTTATAATCTTTTACAAAAAAATACAAATATTACAAAAAGTACCAGGAAAAAAAACACTTAAAAAATAGGTTACTTCACGCATTGTCTAATGAAATGATCTATAATTGTTTTCTTTTAGTTCTGATCAGCTCCTGTTAGGCCTACTCACTTTGTTCTGTTTTACAGTTTTAATATGTATGTATGCTTTTGTTTTTATGAAAATGTATGTAACGAATGAGATTTTAGAGCATCGAAAGCAATTTATCTTGCCTTTGAATAAAATTTTGCAAAGGATTGCTGCAGAAATGATCATGCGTTTCCCAGAGATGGGTTGCAGCTGGAAGGGCATCTGCTGCGTGAAACATATGCTGGGTAAGTTGGCGGTTCATTCTGCTGTGGCGACCCCAGATTAGTAAAGGGACTAAGCCGAAAAGAAAATGAATGAATGAATGATCATGCCAGAAGACCGGTTTTCCAACACATGCATTATGAGTTTCTTTAATTTCCAATCAAATCCTGCCAAGACACTTTACTCTGTTTTACAGTTTTAGTTCATATTTATGCTGTTGTTTTTATCAAATTGGTTTAACAAATATTTTAGAACATCAAAAGTAATTAAATTTGGTAAATGCCCCAAAATGAGCATGGCTGATGGCTTAAATCACAAGGCATCTTAATACCAGGTGCGGACATATATATAGTTTGTGTATTTGTGCATGTCTGTGCTCATATAGACTACCATCTTTTACAGGGGGATTTTGTTCTTAAGATAGAACCACCTTCGGGATGGAGCTTTGGTAAGAAGTGTGTTTAATACAAGATGTGATTATACTGTAAAGTTTATACATTTATATCGTTTATAACTTAAGCTTTATGAGCCAGGGTTCACTAAACATTTTCACTATTCACTTCTGTTTTTGTTTTAAATTATCTTTTTGCAGAGCCAACAACTGTGGACCTACATGTGGATGGAGTTACTGACATCTGCACTAAAGAACAAGACATCAACTTTGTTTTTACAGGGTTTTCAGTTTTGGGAACTGTAAGTGGAAAGTGCTGATTTTGTGAGTTTTTTTTTTTTAAATTTTTTTTTTTGCTAGGTTAAAACATCTGCTCATTTATTTCCATCTCCTTCAGGTCTTGAGTAAAGGCCATTTGTTGGGGCCTGCAGGGGTTGAGGTCAGTTTGAGAAAAGCAGGAGAAGATGCTGTTCTTCAGAGTGTCTTCACGCATGCTGGAGGCCAGTGAGTAGATCTTCTTATAATCCATAAGTTTTCAAGCCATCGCCACACTAGGCATCCATAATGCAAAAGAAATGTCCTCACATATTTAATTGGACCTATGACATCATGCTTCTGTATGTTTTTGTTGTTGTTGTTGTTTTTAAACAACATTTTCAATGTATTGAGGTAATGAATCTATCCAAAAAGGTTTAAATCCTACATCATGGTGCTTTATCTTTCATAATAATTATTTAAATTACATTTTCCATAATTTACAAAAGAACCACCAAAATGCCAATCAGTATATCAATTATTTGATTATGAAAAATACTTCTTTATCAGTCTATATACTTTCTGACTCTGCAAGAATATTTAATTCATATAAAGTATATAAAATGTTGTACTACAACTTATTTATTCTTATATTTTCGCTTTTAGATGTAAGACTGATTGTGTTTTTCATTTTCAACTCTTATACTTGATGTGGAATTTTTGCATTCACTTTTGAAAATGAAAAGTCATAAGCACTGTAGATGCATTATCTTGAATGCAGTTTGCTATCTGTCTCTTTTTGCTAACGTTTTTGACATTTTAATTTGATGGAGGCATCAATATGTATTTTGCCTAAATGTATTTTAAAAAAAACCTGGTCAAAAAGATCTAAATTATGTGGTATAATTTATTAAATTAAATATATATTAAAAGGGGACACTTGACTGCTATAACAGAACATTTATGTATGTATTAGGTGTATATTACGAAGCTCATTGATCTGAAAAGCTTGTCTGCTCTGACTGGCTATTCATCCAGTGCACTGTGATTGGCCAAATACCTTGAGTGTGATGCAAATGTTACACCCCTACTACCTTATCCACTGATAGATCAAAAATTTCTGCCGTGACTGGTGCACAACTTATCAGATTGGTATTTTACAAAGAAAGTAGTTTTGCTTTCACATTCAAACACACAGCATTTCTAAACATGGCGGTGGCAGCAAAAATGCTACCAGTTAGACTTTGTGACTTTTGGGTGATGTGTTGACAGTTTTTCCACCGACTGAAGCGGGAGAAGATGGAAGATTATTTCTTTGCCTTTTAGTATTTAGTTTTTTAGACTTTATAGGTCTTATCTCTGCACAAACAGCTTGTAACACTTCAAGGACAAAGGAAACATGAAGGGTGCACTCACACTATGCCATCCGAACCGTGCCCAGGGGCTGGTTTGTTTGACAAGTGTAAGTGTTCCGAATCACCTGAACCGCGTCAGGGCCCGGTTGACAGAGGTGTATCAGAGTGCGGTTTGGTTTGGCTTTGGCGGGGTACGTTTGTAGTGTGAGTGCAAATCGCGCCTGAGTCCGAAGCTGAATACGCAATGTCACTTTTGAGGGACTTTTTTATATAGATTTATTAAACGTTCTTTCTTTTCAATGAACGCAAACTGTCGTGGTTTATTAAACGCAAACTCCTCACTGCACCTTCAGCAAACTTCCTAAAACATGCAGCACAAGGACTTTTATGATTTTATAAATGTCAAAATTTGTGGATATGTTTGGCAAAATATTTAACTGCATGTCACTGCATCCTAAGCGACTAAAAATATTACAAAAAAATAAAACTAAAGCAATTTCCACTGTGCTAAGGGAAAGCGCTTCTCTTCCTGTTAAACTGAACAGTCGCATCATCAATGACATAAGCGTGATCCAGTTCGGAAGGCAAAATGCAGTATGAGTGCAGGCTGTCAGGGAAGAGGGGGGGCGGAGGTGTTCAAAGCAACTGTTTCTAGTGTGGGTATGCCCTAAGAGATATGGTAATGGCTGTAGAATAATAATAATTAATAGTTTAAATGATTAGTTATACTCTGAAATATGAGTAATTCAAATAAAAATTATTCATGTCATAGTAATTATGAACTAATAATCATAAAAGCTTTGCAACATTGTACAATTGGAAGTCCACACAAGCCAGTGTTTATTTAATTTAGAAATGACTTTCAAAATTTTGCTGCACAAATTACTGTTTTCAAATATAACCCAATAACATTAGATATAACCAGAGATGGCAGAAGTACACAAATCCTTTACTCAAGTACTCATGTTAAAAACGACTTTGATAAAAGTAGAAGTACTGACTACACTTTTGTAGTCAAGTAAAAGTAAAGAAGTATGGCATCAAAAATGTACTTAAGTAAAAAGTACCCGTTACTACTACGGCCTCTATTTTGATGATCCATGCGCAAAGCTCAGAGCGCAAAATCAATTAGGGCGTGTCGGAATGCACTTTTGATAATTTAAGGATGGAAAAATCTGCTTTGCGCCGTGGCGCATAGTCTAAAAGGGTTGAGCTTATTTTCTTAACGAGTTATAGGTTTGTTTTGAGAATAAACCAATCAGAGTCTCATCTTCCATTCCGTTTAAGAGTCAGTTGCGTTGCGCCATAAGCGCATTCGCTATTTACAGGACAGACTTTGTAAGTGGAAAAACTGAGCATTTCACTAGCAAGAAAACAGCGCATCTGCAGTGTGAGAATGAGAGATAAAGCCTCCTCTTTATCTACTTTCACTTTCGCTCTTGGATAGGGAAACCTTGTACGCACAGACATCAATTAACCTATAAATATTTAATTCTGTTTGTTAAGCGCAAAGATTTGTTTCAAAACTATTTCTAAATTCAGTTCTAAATTCCAGCAAACAAATAACTGAACAATAATAACAAAGTGTGTTCAAACAACTGAGTTATATCCAAATACACATGCTGTGCCCCATATGGTCTAAAACCTGAAGGTGGGCAAATCTAAGCTTGTTTTTAATCAAACAAATATACATGTGCATATAATAAATAATACTGCTAATAATAATAACATTATACAAAAGCAAATTGTTATGAATAAATTGAAAAAGCCCCCCAAGATAAATTATATATCTTTATTATATCCTATATATAATACATTTTTCATATGTAAAGATATTTGCGTATTGCTCTACGTCCTGTCTGTATTAAACAATGTGTAAGCGAGGCGCACAACTAGACCAGCTTTGATCTGATCTATTTGAACCTTCTATTTAAGTTCCTGAAAATAGCAACGTGCCAGCAATGTGCTTCAATCACCTTCTTTTTTAGACCAGATCACCTATGGGCGCACATCAGTGCAAATGCATTTGCTATTTAAACAGCGTGGCGCAAAATGTCAAAACGACTCTTCTGCCAAGCTGAAACTAGCAAACAACTATTGCGTCACGCCTTACGCCGCATTGTGCCGGGTGTATGATAGGGCCCTACATGTTTTAGTTTCACTAGGTAGGTAAATATCCTTTTTTCCCTACAGTCCAAAGACATTCAGTATGGGTGCATAGATAAACTAAACTAGCCCTAGTGTATAAGTGCATGTGTGAATGCGAGAGTGTATGGGTGTTTCTCAGTACTGGGTTGTGGCTGGAAGGGCATTCACTGCGTAAAAAATATGCTAGAATAATTGATGGTTCATTCCACTGTGGTGACCACTGATAAATCAGGGACTAAGCTGAAAGATAGTGAGTGAGCTAGTTAAGTAACTAGACCACACATCCTGTTGATCCATTCATATAAAATAACTTACATTTCAAATTTGAATATAAAATGTTTGTTGCAAAACTTTATGAACGTAGCCTAGCAGCATCCAACCATGCAATTTTGCCCGACCACACTGCTCAAAAAGTCGGCCTATGTATCATCATCCTGACGCAAACTCGCAGCATTCAGCATGTAGTTTTGTGGCTGTTTGATAAAAAACAACAGCTGCCATACATGTTCATACACTTGAAAAATAATTTGGTGGGCCTGTATATCTTTTTAAATAATGTATTACTTTTACACTGAATTCTGTTCAAAATATATTGAATTTTATAGTTGAGTTTAAAAAATTGCGCAATGACAAGAAGTAATATAGGTGGCGCCACCAAACACATGAAAACGAAAGTTACGTGCTTGATTTTAAAAATGTAAAAAAAAGTAGTAGAAAATACAAATATTTGTGTAAAAATGTATGGAGTAAAAGTAAAAAGTTGTCCAAAAAAACTAGTGGAGTAAAGTATTGATACCAGAAAAATCTACATAAGTACAGTAATGAACTGTTTGTAGTTTGTTACTTCCCATCTCTGGATATAACACCATATTCTATCTATATTACACTTTTACAGGTATACTTTCCTCAAGGTGCTTCCAGGAAGTTATGACATCACTGCTTCACATTCTTCATGGACCCTAGAGCAGGTATATATATAACAAACTGACTTGTTGACAAGGTCAGCAACACCTGAATGAAAATGTCCAAGCAACTACATTTTCTGTTTGTCATCACATCATCTTTAGGTCAGAATGTCATATTTAAATCTAAATGCAATGCAAACCCTGTTGGTTTAGTAATTTGATCCCATTCCAGAGCTCAACCGCTGTGGTTGTGTCGAATGAAAACGCTCCTGCCGCAGCTCCACTGGTGGTGAAGGGCTATGATGTCTCTGGAGAGGTGCAGAGCGATAGCGAACCCATGAAAGGAGTCAGTTTCCTCCTTTACTCTGCCAGTGTAACGAAGGAGGTAAATGGGTTTATTAGATTCATAACCCAACCACATATGGATTCCAGTCCATAATATGATAATGTGTACACTAGGGCTGCACATTATGTTGTTTCAGCATCAATATCGCTATGTCCGAATGAGCCAACCACATATGGATTCTAGTCCATAATATGATTACGTGTTTATTAGGGCTGCATGTTATATTGTTTTAGCATCAATATCGCTATGACTGAGTCTGCAATAGGCACATCGCTAAATCTACGATGTTGAGTTGTGATTATAATTAGCCAGGAAATGGATATTAGAGTGAAAGAACTTAAATTTCTTGAGTCATAATATTACTTTTAAGGCCTGTGACTGTACAAGCTTTCAGGTTAATTTAAACTTATTTAATTTAATTAAAATTTATTGGAGCACAAATGTTTAAAACAAAGATTAATTGTATTTATTATTACAATGAAGACTACACCGTGTTATTTTACTTTTGATTACATTGCTTTTTATTTGACATTTGACTTTAATACTGTTAGAATATCCAGAAAACCAGACAACACTCTCTATTTCATTTGTATCTCTGTTGCAGTGGTGGAAAGAGTACTGAAAAATCATACTCAAGTAAAAGTACCATTACTTGCCTAAAAATGTAGGGCAAGTAGAGTAAAACTCTCTGTTGTAAATATTACTCAAAGTATGAGTAAAAAGTAGCCCTTTCAAAAGTATTTAAGAGTAATGAGTATTACTCTGTAAAAAGCATGTGTGTGTAAACGTCACATTCTGTAGTGCATCGAGTTATTGCACAGCAGGCACACAACGTCATAAGACGTTAATATAAGGTTAGATTTAGGTTCTGATGTCAGTTGACCAAAATTCAATGTCTAGCCAGTGTCTAAGGACAATGTTATTTTGATGTCCAATAACGATGTCGAATGACATTGATATTTGGTCAATTTCAGGTTGTTAGAAAGTGACCAAAATTCATCATCGAGCCAACATCTTAAACCAACGTCATGTTGACGTCAAATACTGACATTTATTTATCAGGTAGAGCAACCAAAATCCAACGTCTGATAGATGTCATAGTGGTAACGCCGCACAATGTCAAGCTGTAACATCATTAGACGTTGATATTAGGTTGGTTTTAGGTTAGCTGTTGGACATTGATGTTGGTCTGATGTTGAGTTCTGACATCAACCCGATTTCATTTCCAAAGAAAATGCAACATCCCCACGACACTGGGGTACTACGTCAATCTGACGTCACATTGACCTCTTGCGCCTGCTGGGTGTTTAAGGCCATTTTGGTCATCATACAGTAAACATCCATCATTTTTTTATCAGTGACGTGCATCTAAACAGTCTCTGGGTTAATGCGTGTAAAGATTTTGGACGTCTTCTTGGACATTTTTAATGCTTCCAGACAGTTTGCTGCAATTAAAAATCGTCTTGAGGTAGTTCATTATGATGCGATTTACCTTCTATGTGCGATTTGATTGGACAGGAATCACAGGACTGATTTTTCTAATCCCCACAGACATGAAAAAATAAAGCAGCGTTGAAGGAAAGGAGTGGAGTAAAAGTACCGATACTGCACTAAAAATGTACTCGAGGGAAAGTAAAAGTACACATTTTTAAAATTAATTGGTAAATTACAATTCCTGAGAAAAACTACTTAATTACTGTAATTTGAGTATTTGTAATTATTTACTTTACACCACTGCTCTGTTCTATTGAATTTAGTTATGCTTGTAATTTGTTTATTATATTTTATAGACGCACTCCTTTTGCACTCCCTACAAAATCTTCATAATCTATGTAACATTATGAATTCTTTCCAGATACAATTATTTCATTGTTTCATTCTTGTGAAATTATATTAATATTGCTATGTCAGTTTTTTCCAATATCGTGCAGCCCTAGTTTTCACAAATGTGAACAGACTTTTCATATGCTATTTGTTATGACTTGATCTGAATAAATTGATACTCCTCCAGGATATCAGTGGCTGTGCTGTGGCTCCTGTTGATGGGGCTTTAGTTGGCGATGCCTCCCTTGTGTATCTCTGCAGTTCGCAGTCTCGCGAGGATGGCACTTTCTCATTTCCCTGCCTTCCCAGTGGAGAATACACTGTGGTAAGAATTTTTGAAAAAGTGATTTTTACATTTAATGTCACCTTCATCTCAGTCAGCATACCTATTCTAGATAATATGTAGTAATAAATCACAAGTTACTGTTTTTTTAATGTTTTTGTCACTTCTTGAATTGTAGGTTCCATATTACCGAGGTGAGAGAATCACCTTTGATGTTGCTCCTTCTCGAATGGACTTCAAAGTTGAACACAGCAGTTTAACACTGCAGGTGAGTTTCTGTACTCGCTGTTTGTGTTCTGACACATTTATTTAGTTTAGTTTAAAGCTTTAATAATCCCTCAGTGGTCATTTATTCTGACATGTATGGTGCTTCACCTATAACACAACTGACACCCTTAAACACCTTAACACCAATTACACAAATAAACACGCACGCACGCACACACACACACACACACACACACACACAAATAAAATAAAACATTAAATAAGTCTATAAATACAAATGTAATAAATTAATAATAATAATGGACCCTTTTCACAAGAGATTTTAATTACTGCCATTATCAGTCTCACACAATTTGTTTTACTCTACCATTCTCTTTGCTCTAAGTTTACACGACTATGATGACCTCTGCTACTGGGAAACCCGAAAATGTGAAAAGGGTCTATAATAATAAAGTATCAATCAACTACATCTATTACATACCCAGATTTATTCAGGCACAAAAGTAAATTCATAATGATGTGTGGAACATCTAATTGACCTTAGACCAGGAGTGCTCAATCCTGTTCCTGGAGATCTACCTTCCTGTACAGTTTAGCTCCTACTTTGATCAAACCCACCTGAACCAATTAATTAGGACCTGAAATCCACTTGATAATTACAGACAGGTGTGTTTGATAAGGGTTGCAACTGAAATCTGCTGGAAGGTAGATCTCCAGGAACAGGATTGGCCACCCCTGCCTTAGACGTTACCCAAGGGGCATGTTCTTAAAATAATAATTTAAAGGATGCGTGCTGTCCTTTAAAGTTTTATATGCTGTCCTCAACACCTGCTGTTCATAATAGGATGCAAGACTTCGAATTGGAAACTCACTGAATTTTTGAGCACAAATTAACAATGTGTAGAAGATGGTTATTGTAACTCTTAGACCCCGTTTACACTAATACGTTTTTGTTTTAGAATGAAACGATCCGAGTCCACACTGACGTTTCACCTAGCGTTTCTGCGTCATCTAGCGTCCTCACTATACCACTAAAAAACGCACATCATGTAACCACACACACACACACACACTCTGGCATACACTGCAGCGTATGTGCTCATCTGAGCTCCAGGCAGTCAGCGGGAAAAATTACAGGAGTTTTCTGGGAGAAATAACAAAACGGGAGGGTGACGAGAGATGGGTTTGAAGTACAGGAGACTCTCGGGTAAAACGTGTTGGCTGGTATGATTAAAACTGATTTTTTAGCAAAAGAGGGTATGTTTCGTATTTTTTTTATAAAAATGAATGGAAGCAGTTATGTTATAGGCTTCGTTTTGTTATAATTATGAATAAAGTTCATAAAGAAAGATGATGGTCATATAAATATGTAGCTACACGACGGTGTCTGTTAAGTTGCTAATATTAAAATGTAAATAGACTGTTCCTTATATCATGTTTTCATTTTATTGGCAAGAAAGTAAAACAATGTAGCCAGGGTGATGCGAATAAGGTTATAAAGTACACTGTTCCGCTTGAAGATTTACCCAGCGTGTCCTCGGTAGTTTGTTTTCCATATAAAACTTGCGAAGTCTGAATTTACAAGAAGAGGATGGAAGAATAAACTATGTGTAGGCTACTTAATATTCAGGAAAAAGCCTCAAACAGATGCCTCCGTTTTCAGATGTCTCCGTTTTTCCCCATTCACACTAACAAGGAGCAGCAGCGTTTTAAAACAATAACTGCCTCATCAGCGTTTTCAAACAGATCTGTTTTCGGTGCTCAAAAACTCTGGCGTAGTGCGGACGGATGGTGTAACCATAGCAAAACTTATGTCTTTTAAAACTAAAACGCATTAGTGTAAACAGGGCCTTAGACAGTGAAAAAAGAGCCAAGAATTAAAAAATTTGTCATGAGCCTTATTAATAATTGCACATGTATTTTGGTCAAATTTCAGCCTGTTGTCAATGATGGTTCATAGGTAGCTATATTCTTCCCCAATCTTTGTGTTATTTATGACCACCCTTTGGAGAGAAGTGTAGAATTTTTTTTTTACCAAATTTAATGAGCATTTCTTTAGTTTTGACACATTCAGATCTAATAACCATATTTAACCAGATACCTTTTTTATGCGTATTCTGACAATCACTTGTATATAATATGAAAATAAAAACAAGAGAAAGTATACAGCCTTGTGGAGAGCCTGGAAAAATATTGATTATGCCTGATGAGGACTTATTATACCAATTTATAGACTAGGATTTATTGTTTTGGTTGTATACTTTACACATGTCGTGTTTAAAAAAAATAATTCAAAGAAAAGAAGCCAAATCAGTTAAATCAGTTTTTTTAACCAGTTATTCCCATTTTGTTTCTCAGCCTGTTTTCCGGGTCATGGGATTCTCTGTGATGGGCAGAGTTCTGAATGGCCCCGATGGAGAGGGAGTTGCAGATGCTGTAGTTACACTTAACAACCAGATTAAAGGTACCTGTGATAATACGCCTGAATAATATAATTAAACAACCTAAGTAGCCAACATTTCATGCTTAATTAACAAATGTATGCTAATTTAACACATTAACTTGATTTGCATTTATACTTTCTTGGTCTCTTTCACAGTGGAAACTAAAGAAGATGGTTCTTTCCGATTGGAGAATATGACCACAGGCACTTACACTATTAACACACACAAGGAGCTTATGTTCTTTGAACCAGTCACTGTGAAGATTGCTCCCAGCACGCCTCAGCTGCCAGATATCATCACTGCAGGGTGAGTATGCATACATTACATGAAATCCAGTGGAAGATGATATATAGAGATATAGAGATTTTTAATGCTGATGTCAATGTCTGATTTTAACATAGTTTAAAAGTCTTTCTTGTGTCTTTATGATGAAGCAAACAAATGTGATTGGTGAAGCAAATGAGTTAATACTATGTAAATGGCTGTTATTTCAAGCTAAATTAGTCTAATTTGTTACAACATGGCGAAATATGAATACCCTGATATGGTGCAAACATCCTGTAATAGTCCTTTGTTAGGTTAGTAGACAAACAAAAAGTGGTGCATTGTGGCTGGTTGAACACATTTGGTCACATTAGGGTTTAAAGTGAAAGCAATCCAATAAAATGTGTTTTTGACTACTTCTAGAAGTAGTTTAAAGTGGATACACAGATAATATTTTAGAACCTTGGATTTATTTTACTTGATATTAACCAAATTAAAAATAAATAATTGGAAATATTAAGTAAATAATAATAATTCATTTTAATAATAATAAAAAAGTTTTAGGGCCTGTTTACCTTTTGTTTTTACTTAATATTAACTAAATAATAAAATCTATCATTGAAAACTTACATATAATTTTTATTTTACATCTCCTACATCAGGGGTGCTCAAATTTTTTGTATAAAAGGCCAAAAACCAAATATCATTGAGAGCCGTGGGCAAAGATACACATACCAAACTATTTTACATTACATAATATTTAAAAATAAGTAGAATTTGCCTTTGCCTTGATTTGCTCACCAAAGTCTCTGCATTGTCCTTAATCCAACGGGTGACAGTGTGTGCATTTTAAACTAAACTACAGCATTTAAATTGAAATATTAAATTTTAGTTAGCTTTTTTGAAGCTTTAACAGTAAAACAAACAATTAAAATGTTACATTAAATTTGAAATGACAATACCTAAACAATCCCCACCATTCTCCCTTTTCTCAGATAGAGTAGCCAAATCAAAGGTTACCATAGGCCATCTTTGGCCTACGGGCCCGAGTTTGGAAATGTCGGTCCTAGATAAATAATTTATTATATTTTTAAAAAATTGCATGAAACTATTTTGAATAAAACCCCAAATTATATCAAGTTATCTAAAAATGTTTTGTCTTAAAAGTATTTTAATTTAGTCTTGTAAATACTAACCTTAAAAACTCCCACTATACTTATTTTTTTGACAGTGTTTAGCTGCGTCCCAAATCGCATACTTGTGCACTATTCTACGCCATTTTGTAGTATAAATAGTGTAAGTAGTGTGTTCACACTGAAAACTCTAAAAATAATAAGTGCACTTTAATTACCCGGATGATGCACTCATTCAGCTGCTAAAATGAAGTGTGTAATGATGGACACCTCACACACTCAATGACCGCAGGTTTGCTCACGTAGCGGAAGGGGCGGAGCTATCAGGCACACATGTTGGATAACTTTATTTTAGATGGTGAAAGCAAATTCTCCTTGGAGAGTGATTATAGCGCCTCCCGATGGTGAATGTGGTTATACTCACGGCAGGTATTATTTGACAATTCGGTCGTTTATTTCACTGATTTAGCAACCGTCAAACGTCATCAGGGAAACGGTTTGAATTTCCGCTTAGTAAAAAACATTAGTGTTCCATTTGGGACGACACTACATACATATACTATCCTGTTGAGTGTGTAAGTGAATAAGTACATAGTGCATGAGTGCAGAGTTTATAGTGTGCCATTTGGGACTCAGCTTTTGCCTTTTGAAGTAGACACTTACAGGCCACTTTATTAAGTACACGTGTCCAACTGCTCATTAATGCAATTTTCTAATTATTCAATCACATGGCAGCAACTCAATACATTAAGGCCTGTAGACAAGGTCAAGGTAAAGGTTGTTTAAGTGACTTTGAATAACTGGGATTTTCACAGACAATCATCTTTAGGGTTTGCAGAGAATGGTACAAAAGAGAAAATGTCCAGTAAGCGGCAGTTCTGTGGGCGCAAATGCCTTGTTGATGCCAGAGGTCAAAGGAGAATGGCCAGAAGGGTTTAAGCTGATAGAAAGGCAACAGTAGTCGGCACCAATAGCCTAGTGATTTGTGCGTCAACAAAGCATCAAGGTGCTCACGGCGACCCGAGCACGATTCTCGACTTGAGGTTCTTTGCCGATCCTTCCCCTATCTCTGCTCCCCACACGTTCCTGTCTGTAAAATCTCCACTGTCCTATCTTAATAAAGGTGAAAAACCCCTTAAAATTAATTATAAAAAAAAAAAAGCAACAGTAACTCAAATAACCACTTGTTACAACCGAGGTATGCAGAAGAGCATCTCTGAACATTGAATATTTATAATAGTAACCAAAATATAATAGGAGCTCTTAAAAAAAGAACAACATAAGAATCACATAATGTTAACTTACCTTACCAGTGATACTGCCATAAAACCCTGTGGAGGAAACAAAAGTGTTCTTTGAAAGTGTAAACAAGGTTGAGATCATCATATAAGTGGACAAAAACCTAGAAATTGTTTTTTTTAATTAGTTTTTATTTTCTATTTCTGTGGAATGGTTGCAATACAATCTTTTATTATTCTTACTTAATATTTGTGTCCGAGTCCTTCACTGTATCATCACTATCTTTGGAGGAATCTAGACTTCTGAGCTTATCCATTGATAAAACATCTTGCAATAGATTTGAGTGTAGTTGGTTAACAAACATTTGGATGAAACATCTATTTTCTGTATTAGTTGTAATTTCAAATATGGAAAAATAAAGTTTGTCTCTGTACCTATACTGGTTAATTAGTTTAAAAAAATGCAGAATAATCTTTAAAGCACTGATAGAAAAAGCATGTGACTTACCCTAAGTGGTATCACTTCTTCTGGTGGGAAACACTAAAAGGCATTAAGGCAGGTCATTATTCTTCTCACATTCTTTTGTACAAAATGTTTAGGATATACCAGTAGTGAGTTTTATTTATACGTTTAGTCCACTTGTTATTGTAATAGTTCCATTTATTTCTCATTTACCTAAGCTAAATAAAAATGTATCAAATTCTGTTTAAGGCATACCTCGTTTATTTGAGTTGAGCTTAGCATCTTGAGCAAAAGCACAAAATGGTGGAAAATCTCAACTCTGTTATTGTCGACTGTTAAAATGTTTAAAGGTCCCATTTTTTTCATTGTTTGACCTAATTTTAACACAAAGAGAGGGCGGTGCATAATGTAGCTCCTCCCCTTTAAAATCCAATAGAGTTCTGTTTTATCACAGCTCTGCCAGTGAGACGAAAAGTTTCTTGAAGGGGGCGGGGCATGTCAGATAATAGGGAGTATTTTATTGGTCAAAATTTGATCAGAAACCGTATTAGGAAGTGATGTGAAAAATGTTTTATCTATTTAGATAAGAGTGACAAACTGCAAGCTTTGTATGTTTATATCTTCTACAAGCAAGTTTTGTCACTGTGTTATAGCACTCTAGCTTAAGTATATCTTTAAAACTAACATGCAATTATAAATAACAGAATAAAATGTTCCTATTAAATTAAAGTCTTCTGCATTATTATGCATTAATTATGAATTCAGTTTACTGTAACTTAACCTTTTGTAGTATTAAATCATTAAGGAAAATGAATGGAAACTGCTTTACAGACATACTCTAGTTTAAGTCTTCTGGTTTCATCAGATTGTTCTAAACCTTTTCCCAACTGTTTCATTTTTAGGTTTAGTGTTTGTGGTCACATCTCCGTCACCCGTCTTCCAGAGACTGTTAAACAGCTTGGACGCTACAAAGTTACACTTTCGGCTCAGAGGCAGGATCAGGGATTTTTCCGGACTGTGGAAAGTGACAGTCATGGAGCGTTCTGTTTTCAGGTTAAACCAGGAGACTACAGTGTGCAGGTAAAGAGAAGTACAGTGCTCAGCCTAAATGAGTACACTCCATGTTGAAAATAATTATATTGATCCATTTCTCAGTGAATGAAGGTTATGTTTTTTGGGGGGCAAAACAGATGTACTAAATAGATATAAAAAAATAGTCACCAAACACTTTAGAAACAGAAAGAGAATTAATTTACATTAAAAATATAACCAGCCATCAAATATAAACCACTGAATAATTCTTCAAAAATGGCACATATAGCAGTGAAACATCAAATTTTATGAGGGAATAACTGAATCATTTATTAAAAATGAGATTAAAAAAATAAATAAGGGTTGCACAAGTTATAATGTTAGATTTCTACATTCAGCGTCATCAGCAACAATAGTAGTAACAGTGAATTCAGTTCTGACTATTTTACAGTTTATTTTTATTCATCTGATTATTTCTTCATTTTATTATTAATATTATTACAGGTTGTAAGTTCTGTTTGTTAAAACCAAAAGTTTCCTACAGTGCTGTTTTTTAATAAATGGAAAGTAAATTATATTTGTCTCATCCTCTTTGACTGATTCGAAAAATGGTTCGATCCATGACTAAAAAACCATAATGTAATCCGAACTGTGAGATTTGTGATCTGTTTCACCACTAGTGTTTCAGCACTGTATATTTATAGTTATTACAGCATTTCACTTTAAAATGAGTGTTGTCGTAAGTTAATTTACGAAAGTTGTGTTTCTTCTTGCAGGTGACTCTCCCTGAAAGTGAGGTGAAGGCTGGGCTTGCTCTTCAGCCACACTCTCTGGATATCTCACTGGTGGATCGTCCCGTCACTGACCTTCTCTTCACTCAGTTCATAGCATCTGTTTCTGGCTCTGTATCCTGTCTTGGTTAGAGAGATTGTTTTTTTCTATGTCAAATTTGATTAGATGCATGTGTTTCCTGTCCTTGGCTTATTGATTGAATTGTACCATCAGTGGCTTGTGGAGATCTGACCGTGAGCCTTCAGCCTGTAAGCAGACAGGGAGAAAGGCAGAACTTCCAGTTGTCTGGAAGCAGTGAAACCCTCACCTTTACTTTTGGTAATGTGCTGCCTGGCAAGTACAAAGGTAAGCACTGGTTTGACATGTTTTGATCTTAATGAGCAATATAGATTTTAATCGTTATGATGGTAAATCTGTATATAAACATTCAAAGGTTTGCAAGCAGTGCATGATTTTATCTTTTCGTATCAAAAAATAGGAAAGTATTCATAGCGCTTCACTTTTTCCTCATTTTTTCCCGTATTTTTATGTTACAACCTTATTCCAAAATGGATTAAATTCATTTATTTCCTCAAAATTCTACACACAATACCCCATAATGACAGTGTGAAAAAAGATTTTTTGAAAGTATTCACAGCCTTTGCCATGAAGCTCTAAATTGAGCTCAGCTACATTCTGTTTCCATTTTTATATCGTTCTTGAGATGTTTCAGCAGCTGAATTGGAGTTCACCTGTGGTAAATTCAAGTGATTGGACATGATTTAAAAAGGCATGCACTTGTCTATATAAGGTCCCAGGGTTGATAGTGCATGTCAAAGCACAAACCAAGCACTAAGAACAAGGAATTGTCTGTAGACCTCCGAGACAGCATTTTCTCAAGGCACAAGGCTGGGGAAGGTTACAGAAATTTTTTTGCTGCTCTGAAAGTTCCAATGAGCACAGTGGCCTCCATCATCCGTAAGAGAAAGATGTTTGGAATCACCAGGATTCTTCCTAGAACTGGCCGGCCATCTAAGCTGAGTGACTGGTTGAGAAGGGCCTTAGTCAGAAAGGTGATCAATAACCTGACGGTCACTCTGTCTGAGCTCCAGTGTTCTTCTTTGGAGAGAGAAGAACCTTATAGAAGGACAACAATGTGTGCACCAATCTACCAATCAGGCCTGTATGGTAGAGCAGCCAGACGAAAGTCACTCCCCGCCTGGAATTTTCCAAAAGGCATCTGAAGGACTCTCAGACCATAAGAAACAGAATTCTCTAGTCTGAGGAGACTAAAATTGAACTCTTTGGAGTGAATGCCAGATGGTACGTTTGGAGAAACCAGGCACTGCTCATCCCCAGGCTAATACCATCCCTACAGTGAAGCATTGTGGTGGCAGCATCATGCTGTGGGGATTTTTTTCAGCAGCATGATGTGGAAGACTAGTCAGGATAGAGGGAAAGATGAATGCAGTAATGTTCAGAGACATCCTAAATGAAAACCTGCTTTAGAGTGCTCTTGATCTCAGACTAGAGCGACGGTTCGTCTTCCAGCTGGACAACGATCTAAAGCACACCGCCAAAATACATGTGATATTTTTTATTTATTTTTTTAATTTTTTATTTGCAACAATTTCAAAAAATCTTTTTTCACATTGTCATTATGAGGTATTGTGTGTAGAATTTTGGAGAAATAAAGGAATTTAATCCATTTTGGAATAATGCTGTAACAAAATGTGGAAAAAGTGAAGCGCTATGAATGCTTTCGGGATGCACTGTAAATACGCATGCATGCATATATTTGAGAAAATGTTTTAATATTTAGATATAAAATATAAATGTATATGTAGGGCTGGCGATTTTGGTGTAAAATCTAAATCTCGATTAATTGAACAACTCTATTATTATTAATAAGCCATTATTTAATTTTTTTGCCCTCATAGTTCACTGACAGGTTTTGTACAACAAAAATGCTCACATATTACTAGTGAGAGATTTCTGAATGATGGGTGCATTACTTGATTTTAAAGGAATTGAAGGAAACACAAATCTGTTATCTATGATTACTTATTGAACATCAATGTTAAACAACTGAAATTAAAACACACATTGCCTAAAACAAATTTTTCTTAAAAAAATGTGAAAATAAATAACTCACTTTTGGAAACAAAATAAATGATTTTTAATGTTTTTAACATTAAAAATAGAAAATAATCAGTATCTCTTTAAAATCAAGTAAGTCTTTCATATCCTTTAAATAATAATTTAAGCAGTATGTAATCTTCTGTACACAAATATTTTAATGTTAATAATAACTTTAATATAATGGAGTGTAGTGACACATGCACTCCGGTGCTCACATGGACCTGAGTTCGATTCCCGTCTCGGTCCTATGCCGATCCTTCCACTCTCTCTGCTCCCCACACTTTCCTGTCAATACTCTCTATTGTACCGTCAATTAAAGGTGAAAACCCCGAAAATATAATAAAAAAAAAAAAGAATGGGTCCATCATCCTATTTGACCAGAGATGTGATGTGGCTGCAAAATGGCCGCAGAAGTATATATCAGCCTTAACAGAGTGGGGTCATGTGACTCCACTTGCGGTTGGGAAAGTAATTGAAAAAATTGAGCTGGAAATATTTGATCAATTATAGGTTTTGTCCAGCCCTATGTATATGATACAAATTATATATAAATTTCAATTTAAATGTAAAAACTTTTTGTAAAGTTTTGTTTCTATGAAAGTGCGGATATCACATATACATGATAAATATATATATATATAGCACACCCCTATTATGTCAAAGCAAACTTATTTTGAATGTGATTAATTGCTGCCCAGCATTAAGAAATGTTTTAATGTGAACATTAAGCAGCATATCAGTTTTCTAACGTATAATAATGTAAAAAAAGCTTTTGTGCACCAAATCAGCATATTAGAATCATTTCTGAAATACTCACACTGTATGATGTGACCCTGAAGTTTGAGTAATGGCTGTTTAAGGTTCTGAATACAGATTCAAAATATATTTTAAAAAACATTAAAATAGAACAACTTTATTTTAAATTGTAGTCATAGTGCGCAGTATTATTATTTTAAATGTGAACAAATAAGTGCAGTTATTGTGAACAAGATATGCATCTTTTAAAGGCATTGTGTATTATAATTAATGAGCTTATGCATGTTGCAAACATCTGTGTAATTTTCAGCTTGCAAAAAAAAAAAACAATAGTATTTCTTGCATGGTATTTATTAAATAAATGGTACCGTTTAGTTCATTTATTTTTATTTCGCAATTTAATTTATTCAAAGTTATTTTTGAAAATATGATTTATATTAAAGAAATAAATAGAATTGCATGTCTCTTTTGTTCTTTTTGCCTTGAAATAAAATATGATAATGGTATAGTATGTTTATGGTTGAAGGTTTGCAAAATAAAATAAACTAGTTATATTATGATTTTGGACCAAGTCAGGCAACCTTTCAGCAGTACAGACTTTTAGTTTAATAAAGAGATTAACATCCTCTTGTTTTCACTAGTGTCTATCACCCAAGAAGAGTGGTGCTGGAAGCATAAGTCAGTGGAGATCGATGTACTTGACTCGTATGTAGAGGGAGTGGAGTTTCGACAAACTGGATACTTACTGCGCTGCTCACTGTCCCATGCTATTACACTGGTAAAACCTAAAACTTGATGAACATATTTTGCAGAATCACCAGTTACTTGTCTAATATTGTAAAGCAAATAATAATGCATTATTTGTACAAAACTTTAGGAATTTTTCCAAGACGGCAGTTTACCAGAGAATGTTGGCGTTTACAATCTGTCCAAAGGAGTCAATCGTTTCTGTCTGTCAAAGCCTGGTGAGCTCAGTAATTCCTTCAATTTAGTTAAGTTTAAGTTTAGAGACTAAAGTATGTAACTTACTACTGTTTAATTAAAGGTGTTTATAAAGTGACTCCACGCTCCTGTCACCAGTTTGAACAGGATTACTACACCTACAACACGTATGTTATTTTAATAACATGAAAGCTTTTGCAGTATGTAGCATTATTAAAGAAATTCTAATCCACATGATTTGACTTTCTTTCTGTTCCATAGGTCTGCCCCAAGCATCTTAACTCTGACTGCTGTCAGACACCACATGACAGGACTTATAACCACTGATAAGATGTTGGATGTCACAGTCACCATCAAGTGAGTGAGAACATTGTTATATTTTTTTCTGTAAAAGAGTGAAGCATATATTTTGTCTTTTGTAGCTTTTATGTTTCTCCTCTAGTTAAACACTCACTTATGGCCCGTTTCCACTGAGTGGTATGGTGTGGTATGGTTCGGTACACTTTTATGGCCGTTTCCACTGTCAAAAGGTACCAAAAAGAGAACCGCACCGTACCACTTTTTGGTACTTTTACAAAAGGGTACCTAGTACAGCTGCACGACTCTGGCTAAAATGAGAATTGCAATTTTTTTTTTTTTTTTTTGCATAAAATAATTTTCTCACAATTCTGTAGATGTAAAATAAAGGTTAATATGAGTGGGCTATTATTGTTGTTATTTCTCAAACATATGGTAAAAAAAAACTATATTAATATTATATGTAGATCTACTGTTTATTCTTGTCAGGGTTGGTGAGGGGAAATGGGGAAAAAGGAGCGAGGACCCAAGTGCAGAATAAATGGGAATTTATTAAATAATAAAAATAAAATAAAATGCAAAATAAACTACCCCGAGGGGGAAAACATTAACAAAACAAATACATACAAACAGGACTGGGCAGGCTGGCAACGATGATAACTGGAAACATGACAAGACAAGGGTTTAAACAACAACATGTGATGACGAACTGGCACAGGACAGCAAATGTGAGGGGTATATAAACTGTAGAAAATTAACACAAACAGGACACTTCTCATGCTCAACACTATGTGTTCGCTAAGAAAGAAAATAGCATATCAAATGCTTTTCGTAGCCTAATCATAACTCTTTAATGCCATATGATTATTTAAATGTTTTGCAAGCTTTCGGTTTCCTTTTGACTGCTAAATGCGGTTCATATTTCCTGCGCTGCTCTCAAACAATCACTCTGTTCCACAAACTAAATTTTATTTAAAACTTTATTCACAGCCTATGCAGGTTCTGTTCACTAAAGTAGACTTCATTCACAGGCGCGCGCCCGCTCTTTGTGTGGTAACAGCTTATGGTCAGCAGCTCACATCACGAGTGATATCATATCACGGCCGCGAATACATCATTATATGAAGACACAAATGGCATTTTTGAGTGAATTATACCTTATAAATACAGTATGTCATTTTTTTTACCCCATTTCAACATCATTGGTGTCCTTGTGGCTGAACAACGTATGTAAAACAATGTGAAGACTTGAAAATTTTGATTGGCAGAATCATAGAAATGCTAGATTAAGATCTTCTAGGGCAGGGGTGTTGTCGTGAATTTTGACTTCTTATCAATTAGAAATTATCAGACCAGAGGTTTTGAATATCAGAAAATAGACTTTATTCTCCAAAATAAAGCCGAGAAAGAGCAGAGCAGACCCCAGAGCATTCTGAAGTCTCTCCTGGACACCTTCTAAAGTATCTGTGTTCTCCATAATCTTTATAAAGGTAATTATGACACACCCCTAAGTCTCTTTTTAACTCTTGACCATTTTTGAATAGGTTTTTAGTCTAAGGGGTCCTGCTTTTCTTGGCTCTCAGCCCACTAGCTCATGTCAACAGAGATGTTACAGGTCTATGTCAGCAAGGTATAGATGCAACTTATGCAAAGGAACTAAGTGTTTACATACATTGTTATGATAGGATAATAACTTGATAATATGTTACTCATTCTAACTTCTAACACATATAGCTTCATACAAGTATTTAACATATATGATCAGTGCTTTACATATTCAGTTATTCTACACAATCAGTCACTCAGCCTTCTCCTAGTGTTGCACCTGTGCAGGCATACTCATCTTACACAGTATTTTTAACACATGCTGGCATGTTTGCTGCAAACACTACATACATTTTGTGAAGAAAAAATTAACTGCTTTACACTTAGAAAATACTTCATACAGAGAGAATAAAATCTTCTTCAGTGTCAAACTCAATCCCTGGAGGGCCGAAGCCCTGCACAGTTTAGTTCCAACCCTGCTCCAACACACTTACCTGTAGGTTTCAAACAAGCCTGAAGGACTCAATTAGTTTGATCAGGTGTGTTTAATTATGGTTGGAACTAAACTGTGCAGAGCTGCGGCTCTTTTGGAACTGAGTTTGACACCTGTGGTCTAGGGCGTCGAATCGAGATCGCAATCTTTTTTCGATTAATTGTGCAGCTCTAGTACTTAGCACAGCAAAAGGGTACCAAAAGGTGGAGCATCACACACCGCTGAACGCTTTTGGTTTACACTTTTTTTGCTTTTTGGTCACTAGCGTGTGAACCAGCCAGCAAAATGAAAACAAAGGGAACATAATTTTTTTAAATAATGTTACACTGTCGAAACTTTACACTGTAATAATATATACATATAATAATGAGCCATGGTTGACCCAAGCTCAATCAAACTTTGTCGCCGTCTTTATGAACAGCCACAAAGCCAAGAAAAAGAGCAGAATCTACCCTTTGCCCCGTCGTTGTTTACAAGGCCGATTAAAGTGCGAGCGGTTTCAATTCTGGAGAGAACTCATGTGCGCATCTATATTTGAAATAGCAAACTTCTTGAGCTGATGATAATAACGTGCTTGTGATTATTGAAGTGCTTCTGATATCCGATCTTTTCTGAAACAGACAAGATCTTTTCTTCTTGAAAAAACAAGGAAGCTCGGAAAAAAAACAGGAGCAAACGATTTTTTCAGCAACCTAAAACATGAGTAAACTGCCATGTTTAACTATTATCAATATCTGTTGGACTATTATGAACTCAAAATGACGGAATTACTTTCTAACAAGCGGTTACATGTACTGCTGAAGATTAAAATGCAGATGAGAGGTTTGCACTGATATATGTTGCATGTTGTTTTTGAACTCAAATAAAGACTAAAGTACAGTTTTTCTGTAATTGGTAATATATTGGAGACTGTAAGGGGTGTTCATATATGTTGCATTTATTTATTTTGTATAATTGCAGACATTACAGTAGGTTATTTTGCACTCGTATCATTGATCATTGATTGTTCATAGAAAGGTTAGTGAACATTTATAGACAAGGATTTATGTGTATAAGGCATCAGTTTTCTGAGAAGTGCTTCTTATATTATATGTGAACAACCCGTACAGCTTTACTTTGACAGTTCCTCAAACTAGAATGATGTCAATTGAAGCATTCTGTCATACACCTCGCCCACAATTGGTATCCCTTTGGCAGTGGAAAAACACAAACCTGATAAAGGTTACCCGTATCAAACTGTACCACTCAGTGGAAACGGGCCATTACTTACATGTACTTTGAGAGAAGTTATGTGTTATAAATCCAGCAGCTTTAATACATCCACTGCAGTGCACGAGGCTGCAGCTTTTCACATTTTTAACAGATGTGTTGCCATGAAAAATAAAAATAGAAGTGATGTGTTCAAAATAATAGTCACATTAAACAAAACTCAGACAGAGGGGTCAGCTGAAGTATTTAAAACTTTCATGTGAAAGGCTTAAATTAACTGCGGCCGAACAGGGTCAACTTCCCTTTACAATGAAAAGCACTTTGGAACTATTCTCCAGCAAGTCCTATGTTGTGACTTCCTTATCCTGAGTAAAGTGCTTTGATGGATGTAATATCACTCTCACCATTGTGTGTTCATGCTTATGTTTGCATATGAGGAGTTCCGCCCTTTATAACATCAGCTAGTTTTGAATTTAGAAGCAAGTAAGATTTTTAATGAGAATCCTACTCATTAACATTGTAAATAACTTTGCTGGCTGTTATTTTGGCAGATCCTCTATTGAGAGTGAGCCTGCTTTGGTTCTGGGACCTCTACGCTCAAATGAGGAGCAGCGAAGGGAGCAGCAACTTCTGGAAATAGCTGCCCGTAAAAAAGAGAGAGGAGAAGCAGGCGATGAGAAGAGCCCCCCTGTGGAAGAGAAACCAGAGGAACTTCGTGAGCCTTTTCACTATGAATTCTCCTATTGGGCACGGTAGGATAATAGGAGAAAGCTTGTCATTGTAGAATTGTACATCCAAAGAATTTGTCTCTTCTGTCAAGTGCAATTATTTTTGTGATCTTAACTTTATATATTGGTGGCATGTGCTGTTTTAGGGCTGGGGAGAAGATCACAGTCACACCTTCATCCAAAGAATTTCTGTTTTACCCTCCTGAAGTAGAGGCTACAATCACTGGTGGTGAGAGTGCAAACTTTGTTTTAAAGGAATGAATGAACTCAGTTGGCTTCAACAGTATAGTACCTTATTAGTTCCAGGTTGGATACTCTTTTGCCTTTAGCTCTGCCTTAATTATTTTTGGCCTAGATTTAAGTGTGCCACAGAATGGATGAGTGTGTATAGCTAGGCATAGTTGAATAATAAGACTTCACTACAATGAAGTTACATACTGTGAGCTTCAAACACACTTGTTCCCTCCTCCCTTATGTAACTCCTGTTTTAAACAAAACACCACTGAAGAACAGACAAAGCCATTTCTTTTTAAATTGAACATTTCATACTGAGATAACAGCATTAACAATAATTTAGCAATCATTGTTGATTATTGCAATAATGTTAACTGTAGTTGATCCTTGTACTATTCAAATGTACTACCCTTTTGTTATGTTGATGGTTGTTTTCGCTCCATTGACTTCCGTTATAATGACATTGTTTGATTGCAAAGCCATGACACCATATAATCTTGCATTCTTGATTGTTGGTGGTTTTCCCTATTGGGAAGAGGTATTTTTTACTGTTGATAATTAATTGGCATTATTAACCCTTTAGATGGGCATGTGAAAAAATGTTTGGCTATTATATGGAGCTCTATGGAGTAAACACCAGATTATAATGTGTGTGCATAAACACACTTACTATGTTTACTATATTCTAAGAGCTGAGGGGTTTATTTAGATTTTCTCAGAAATCTCAAGATAAGTGTGCAAAGGTCACACACACATACACACACTTTACTCCATGTAGAAGCTTTTTTTGCACTGCAACAGATAATAAGGCAAGGCAAGTTTATTTATATAGCAAATTACATATACAGGAAAAATGAGACAAGTATAATAAAATAAAAACAAATAATAAAAATGATAAAAAACAGATAAAACAGAATAAAATGTGTTTAACAGGTTATAAAAGAATGAAAAAGAAAAGAAAGACATAATAGTGCGATCTGGCGGATATAGCACAGTGCTCATTCAGTACAGGCAAAGCTAAACAGCTGTTTTCAGTCTTGATTTAAATGTGCCTAATGTTGAAGCACATCTGATCATTTCTGGAATTCCGGGGGGCTTTTTCTCTAAGCTTGATTTATGGAGAAAATTGTGGCCAAATTAAGACTTGAAATCACCCTAGAGTGGATAAAAACATCACTAACAGGGTTAAGTAGTTGCTCCATCTATCTAGCTAAATAACTAAATACAGTAGGCGATGCGGTGGTGCAATAGGTAGTTCTGTCGCCTCACAGCAAGAAGGTAGCTGGTTCGAGCCTTGGCTGGGTCAGTTGGAATTTCTGTGTGGAGTTTGCATGTTCACCCCGTGTTCGCTTGGGTTTCCTCCGGGTGCTCCGGTTTACCACACAATTCAAAGACATGCAGTACAGGTGAATTCATTCATTCATTTTCTTGTTGGCTTAGTCCCTTTATTAATCCGGGGTCCCCACAGTGGAATGAAGTTTTTTACGCAGCGGATGCCCTTCCAGCCGCAACCCATCTGGGAAACATTCACACACACACTCATACACTACGGACAATTTAGCTTACCCAATTCACCTGTACCACATGTCTTTATCATGAGCCGAGGTTCGAACCAGCGACCCAGCGACCTTCTTGCTGTGAGGCGAACGTGCTACCCACTGCGCCACTGCCTCGCCCTAGTACAAGTGAATTGAGTAAGCTAAATTGTGCATGTATGTAAATGAGTGTGTATGGATGTTTCCCAGAGATGGCAGCAAAACATATGCCGGATAGGTTAACGGTTCATTCGGTTGTGACGACCCGAGAATAATAAAAGGACTAAGGTACAAAGAAAATGAATGAATGAATGAATGAGTATTACAGGGTGATAACCTATTTACCCAGATAATTTTATTTATTCTTGCCTGTGTTGTCATCTACATTAAATCTACAAAATACAACTGTAGATACATCTATTTCAAAGTTTTGGTTGTTGCATGCCAAGAAGTTTATTCAACATAAATACATTTTTACTCACTATTCCTATTTGCTCTTAAACATTTTGAAAGGAAATGGCTTGTTTTAACTTTGTTTCTAATGTGTTTCTCACAGAAAATTGCCCAGGTCGATTGGTGGAGATTACAGGCCGGGCAGGACTGTTCCTCACAGGGCAGGTGGCTCCTACATTAGAGGGTGTGGAAATCACTATAAAGGAGAGCAAAGCTACAACACCTCTCATTACAGTTCTCACAGATGAAAATGGAGCCTACAGGTATCTTATTTGTTCAGTGACACACTGCATTCGTTTATTTAATAGCTGTTTAATTGTGTGTAAAATATATTGAGTGAATTCAGCAGTCTGATACAATGTATTAATTCATTAATACAATTCTTAATTGTTTTCTCCATAAATAAGTGTCGGACCCTTACATAGTGACTCTCAGTATGACATCAGTGCGAGTAAAGAGGGCTTCGTCCTGACTCCAGTGGAAGGAAAGACAGGAGACTTCAAGGCTTTTGCATTGGCAGGTGTCACTTTTGAGGTCAGTCACGTTAATATCATAATTTAAGTTGGGCTGTCACATTTGATCAGTTATTTATTAATCCATTTTCTTCTCTTTCAGATAAAGGCAGAGGATGGCGTTCCTCTGTCTGGGGTTCTGCTGTCTCTCAGTGGAGCAAGCTTCCGCTCAAATCTGCTCACTCAGGACACTGGACTCCTCACATTCAACAACCTGGTACAGTCGTCACAATCATTTTGTAATTTAGTTTTTTTGATGCTTTAAAAAAGGGGTGTCCATACCCTGTCCTGGAGGGCCGGTGTCCTCAGATTTTAGCTCTAACTTGCCTCAACACACCTGCAAGGATGTTTCTAGAAAGCCTAGTAAGTGCTTGATTAGCTAGCCCCAGGTGTGACTGATTGGGGTTGGAACTAAACTTTGCAGGACACCAGCCCTCCAGGGCAGAGTTTGGGTACCCTTTCTCTAAAACTTCCATATAATGTCAATGTTTAAAAGTTTTTTTGATGCTACTTTACTATAAGGTTGTATTAGTTAACGTTAATTAATGCTTTAGTTAACATGAATTAACAGTGAGCAACACATTTGTTAAGCATAACTTAATCTTCTTTGATGTTAACTGAACATATGTTAGTTAATGCATTAGTTAGCATGATCTAATTGTGAGCAATATGATATCTCTGTTAATGCTAAATTCCTCATATTTGTTGAACTCATTCTCTCTATATTAACAGCTTAATTAGTTAATGTTTAGTTGCACATACAGTAATGCATTTATCCATGGATAAGATAACAATGACATTTGCTTTATGCAGCAATACTAAATGTTATGTAAACTAAACATATATTGACGTGTTAATTAATAAATAAGGTAACATGCATCAACAAATGTCACATCAAAAAAAAAGATTGTAATGCTGAATTAAGTTGCTGTTCACCATTAGTTTATGTTAATATTTTAATTTACTCATTAATATCTGTTTAGTCTATTTTGCATAAAATTAAATATTTCCTAATAAATATTATCATATTTGTTAAAAGGAAATGCATTAGTAAGATTCTTATAACTTGCTATATCTACTCACCATTTCAGAGTCCTGGCCAGTACTATTTCAAGCCCATGATGAAAGAGTTCCGCTTTGAGCCCTCAGCACAGATGATAACTGTAGAAGAAGGACAAGTACTGCATATTCCCATCACTGGCTTCAAAACAGCCTACAGGTCAGTATGCAAAAAGAAAACAAATGCGAAGATCTTTATTTTATTTTTGAAAGAACCATTTTTTAAAATTATTTTAAAAGTATATATTTTTTTGTTTAAATATAAGTATAATAATTATAAGGCAATAATAGTATTAAATAAGCCATTACTCAGCATTCAGTTGTCTTCAAAAAACGTTCTTTATGTGACAAGTTGGCTCTCAAGTAGCATCTTATTGTCAGCATTTAAAACAGTTGTTCTACTTGATAAACTTGTGAATAAAAAAGAAAGTTCAAAAGATTATTATTGAAAATATATAAATCTTTAAAAAAAATCCTTTGTGACTCTTTTGATCAAAATATGCCCTGTCTGTCATGAAATCAATTTTCCATTGTGTGTTTTGCTGTCTTTTAGCTGCTATGGAACAGTGCAGTCGATAGGTGGCGATGCGGAGCAGGGTGTTGCAGTGGAGGCAGTGGGGCAGAGCGAGTGTGGCATGTACAGTGAAGACACTGTTACTGATGAAGAGGGACGCTTTAGACTCAGAGGCTTACGGGTGAGACTTCATTGAGGAAACTCTTCAGAAATTCTCAGATACAGTAATTTCTGGGAAGTGTTTTCGATTTGTTTTAAAGAAGGCTCTTCTCACCAAAGCTTCTTATGTTTGATAAAAGATAAAGAATAAACCGTAATAATTAGGGGTGCTCCAATCAGGATTTTTTAGCCAATACCGAGTACCGATACCTTGTCATGGTGATCAGCCGATATGAGTACCGATTTTGATGCTTCTAGCTTTATAATGCATAAAGCACATTTTCCCTCCAAGTATGATACTTGCAGTAAGTAGAGAGATCTTTCCTTACATAAGAGAATAAATAAAGGATGTTGCATATAGTCCCTTAAACATGTCTCTTATAACAGTTTAGTTTGGACATGTAATGATTAGAAGCAACTTTACAGAAAATAATAGATAAAACATAAAAAAATGGTATGAAAAATTACCCACAAAACAATTTAGAAACGTTCCAAATGATGGAAGAAGAATTTAACATTTCTCAATGAAGAAAGTTTGGAGTATTTAATGCATAAGTAGTTTAAATGCACACTTATAAATACATATTTGTTTATTGCAATAAGTCTATTACAAAAAGGTATATTATTAAATATTAAAGTTTAAAAAATATAATTTTTTTGATCAAAATTTTTAGCCAGGTTTTAGTGAACTTGCAGTATTGTCACAGAACTTTCAATTCTTAAATGTAAAAAGACCTAAATACATGCAGCTCTGGATAGCCTCATAGCAGCTCGATGAGAGAGACAGGGATGTGCACTCAAGATATCTTTACTGTGCTGTTCATTTAACCTAACAAATGTAATCACTGTGCCTCTCACGATCTGTTCTCTTGCTAATTCACAATTTGCTAATTCATATATCTTTAATATATAAATATTAAAGAAACGTATTGTTAAACAGGTTATAGATTTTTGTGGCATTTTTACAGTTGAGTTTTCTATTGAAGATACAGTAATTATTTTACAGTGTGTCTAATTTAATATATACCTGTTTTCACAATTTACCCCAGTCTTCAGTAGCATGTGATACTTCAGAAATCATTATAATATGCTGACAATATTCATGATTTTTGGCATATTTTGTCTAATTCACGGGCATCAATGAGCTGCTAGTGCAGAGCTTATATGGTTGTATAAGACCATAGGGGAGATCTCTCTGTTTGTGTCATAACAGCTCAAAACACTGGATATGCATTGTCTGCAGCAAAGAGAACATCACTCGCAGAAGTCACACCAATATATTGCATAAACAGAGGCTGCACCACACCTCTACGTATTTTACCTACTGTGTTGAGACAGCAGCGATCAATCCCACCGCCACACATCATTTACCTCATCTCGTGCTGTAGTGCTGCTGACAAATGCACATGCATTTTGCTCTGTGTGGTAACCTGTAAATGAACACCTGCGATTGGTTCATGAGATCGGCCCGATTGGCGAGTACCAATCCAGTGCTAAAATGTAATTATCGGCTGATGCAGATCGATCAAAGCATCCCTAGTAATAATATACAAGTTTAAAATATACCTACACTGTAAAAAAAAGTGGCAGCTGTGGTTCCCAGATCTTTATTGTTACAAATACTGTAGAAACCATAAAATATTTTTTTTCTATTTTGCTTTAAACTACTGTATTTTATTAATTTAAAATTTTACTCTAGTGTTTTGAAATATGAACATGTACACGTCATACATTTGTTATACTGACAATATCACAACCATAATCATCCAAAGCTCGTCACAAACAAGTTTTCCCACGAGCAGAGAAACGTACTAATAGAAGATGATCAATGTCATTCAACTAATAAACCCCATCATGATAACATGCATGACATTAAAGTAATGCAATCAACATTAGATGTAACATAAAACTCACTGATGAGAAAATACCTAAAAAGAGAATAACTAAATAGAATCATTGTCAGCAGAAAGATGCAGGGAATATATATATTAGAGAAACATATTGTTAACCAGGTTATGGATTTTTATTGTGGCTTGAATAGTTTATTAATCATTTACTAACTCATTTTTTTTAATTTACCATTGAAGTTACTTTAATTCTTTTACAGTATATACAGTATCTAATATAATATATACCTGTTTTCATGTCATTTATTTCTGTGATTGACTGTTTAATTTACTCCAGTCTTCAGTATTGTAATTCTTCAGAAATCATTATAATATGCTGATTTGCTGCTCTATCATAATCAGTTATTATTAATACTCAATCATTAATAATGATTTTTAGAACTCGTTTTTTAAGAAAAAAAATTCTTACTTCATAGTTTTTATCATAATGACCGCATTTTTTGCTATATTGTAAATGTCTTTGATGAATTAAAGTAAATGATAACACTTTACAATAAGGTTGTGTTAGTTGATGTTTGTGTAGCTGGAAGGACATTCACCACATAAAAAAAAAAAAAACATATGCCAGAGTAATTGGAAGTTCATTCCGCAGTGACAAGCCCTAATAAATCAGGGACTAAGCCAAAGGATAGTAAGTGAATGATTGTATTTTCTAAAATGAAACAATACATTTATTACAGTATTTCTTCATTTTTGTTAATATTAATTAATAGAAATAATGTTGTCCATTGTTAACTCATTGTGTATTAACTAATCTTAACATGCATGAATTTGTATTTTAATAATGCATTAGTAAATGATTAACTATGATCTATAAATGCTATTGTTCATTATTAGTTTACGTTTATAAATGTATTTATTGATGCAACCTTATTGTAAAGTGTTACCAAGCAAATAAAGGTAACTTGCACTTTTCAAATAGATATGAAACAGCACAACAATTTTTACCACTGAAAATAATAGTAATAATGTTTCTTTAGCAGCAGGACATAATTTTAGAATGATTTTTGAAGGATCATGCTGCTGAAGAAATGAAAATGATGTCTTTTAAACTGCATTCTTTTTATATTGTAATACTTTTTTACAATTGTACTGCATTTTGATCAATGAAAGTACAGCCTTGGTGAACAGAAAGTCTTCTTTGAAAGGAAAAAGCTACCGATCTAAAGCATTTTTTTGGTAGTCTACATGATTTTGAACAAATTTTGCCGTCTGATGTTTGTTGCCAGCCTGGTTGTAACTACAACATTCAGCTGAGAGGAGAGGGAAATGATCACATAGAGAGAGCATTGCCACCACACAAGACAATTGAGGTGAGCGTTCACATTTATACAGTATTCATCTTAGTTTTGGTTTAAACCTCATATTTAAAGTTTTTATTTATGTGTAAATATTTTTGGGATTCTTTTAGGTCGGCAACACCGATATTGATGGAATCAACATAATCGCCTTTAGACAGATCAATCAATTTGATCTGAGTGGAAATGTCATCACTTCCCCTGAGCATCTTCCCACTCTATGGGTAAGTGCAATACAACTTGAGGAGTTCAGATGCAAAAACCTCTAAGTGTCATCTAAAATGTTCTTCTAAACTGAGCATTTTTTACAAGCTCCTGTGTATAGGTTCAGTATTTTCACTGTTATGGCAAAGAATAATTTATTTTCATTGCCTTTAAAAGTGAAATAACTGAAAATGATTTAAGTGTAATATCTAAACATAAACATAAAGAGGCTGAGAAAAATGCTTATTCTAGACATGTCTCTCAGTGGAGCAAACTTCCGCTCAAACCTGCTCAGTCAGGACACTGGACCCCTCACATTCAACAATCTGGTACTGTCTTTACAATCATTTGGTTATTTTATTTTTGTTTTTTTGATGCTCTTTGACCACTTTCAGAGGTTTTTGCATCTGATGTCTTTTCTTGAATACTCTTTTAAAGTAGGTTCTTCTTTTTGATGGAAGCTTGACATTGTTGTTTCTCTCTTTAAAGGTAAAGCTCTACAAAAGTGATAATCTTGACAATCCCTTCCAGAGTGTGTCTCTTGGCCAGTCCCTGTTCTTCCACTTTCAACCTCTGCCACGTGACGGAGAGGTAGCACTATGCTAATTACATTTACATTAAATTCTGTACTAGTAAATAATAGTAAAGTGAGGATCGTGTGACAGTGAGGGAGGGGCGGGTTGCTTGGTGATTTCCAAAAGTCAAATACATTTTATTAAACTATTAGAATCACCATATTTTATCTATAACCTACAGAAGATAAAAAATATTAGTAGTAATGTTAAAAGAACAACAACATGCAAACAAATAAAAAGCCATGAGCCTTTCGTTGGATTGCGACCCCTGCTGCGACCATTTATTTTAGAAACCATGGTATTTCATATATATATATATTTTTTTTCATTTACAAATACTTTTATCAGGAAAACATAAACTGACTAAAATGCAACTCATTAATCATGTTTCAGATCATTTTATTTGAAATAAATGCTATTAATTTTAACTTTCTATTCATCCCAATTTAATAAAAAGCTAAATGTATTCATTACTGATAATAGTAAACTCATTTTTATTGATCGAGAACTGGGAATAATCAACGTAACGATATTTGTCTGCTGTTAAAACACTGACTGAACGAATACATGATGCCAAAACTAATAATGAAAAGGAAGTAATGCTACCATTTGAATTTGATCAGAGGTATAATCCGTTCATTTGCCAGCAGTGTGCATTCATTCCTCCGCAAAACCCAATTTCACCTGAAAATCAGTCAAAACTTGTAACGTGATTTTTGTTAAATTCATTAGAGTGTTTTGGATTTATTCATTTTATAAAAGCACTCACAGACAGATTAGAACATGTAAAAGCATCTTTTAGCTCAAGGTCCGCACCTAAATGGTCAAATACATTCAAAAATGTTTTGCTTGGTGATTATTAAAAAAATGGTAAAACTTTAGAGTAACTACACACTATGAATCATTTATGAAGCATTAGCAAATAGTTCATTCATCATCTGTTAGGCATTAACTGTACATTTAATAGATGTTAGTCAGCCGTTTATAAAGACAGCTACAAAAGCTCTATTCTTGACTTATACTCACATTTATAATGTGCTTAATGATTGTATTTTCATACTTTAATGATTAGTTTTTCATTACTAAATTATGTATTGGATCATTTAGAAACTAGTTATTTAAGAGAAGCTGCTGGTTTTTAAAGATCATTCAGAATGAGTTAGTAAATTATTAATAAACTATTCAAATGAACATTTATATATCTTATTATTCACCCATGTACTAATAGTTAATTTTTATGTAAATAAATTCTTTATTAAGTCATGCTTCATGCAGTTTTGTGACCTAGTCTAAAGTGAGCACTAGTTATGCTTTATAAATCCCAAATAAATGACAATTAAAGGCTCAGTCATATTTCAAAGAGAAAAAACGGAAAATAAATGACTTATTTCTAATCATTTTAAGATACACAATTAAAAATGTATCAAATAAAAAATAAATCTCTGCAATCTTAACTAAAATAAAATTACTGTGCAGTTTAAACATCGCTAAATAACACTGAAATGTATCATGATATATTGTTAATGTAATATATTGTTGTTGTTTTATCCAATTTTATTTCATTGTGTTTATTCTAAATGTATTTTTAGAAATACATGTTCATTTGATACTAATAACCTTTAATTGCCATTTATAAGGAATTTATAAAGCATAAATAGTCTTTACTTTAGATTAAGGTCACATAATTTGAGTTAATAAAGCATTAATTAACATGCATAGTAACCATAACTGTATAACTGAATAATAAGATCTATAAATATTGAATAGTTTATTAATCATTTACTAACTCATTTTAACTGATTCAGAAAGCCACTGACTACTCTTAAATACAAATGGTTTGTAAATAATTCAATACTGAATTTAATAATGAACAATTAAAAAGTATTCAAGTATTAAAACAATCATTGAACACATCATAAAAGTACTTATAAGTCAAGAACACAGTATTTGTTTCTGTCTTTATAAACTGCTTACTAACGTCTGTTAATGTAGAGTTAATGCTTACTGATAATAAATGAACTATTTGCTAATGCTTTAAAAAATGAGTCATTGTGTGTAGTTATTATAAAGAATTACCAATAAAATTACTCATAAAAAAATTCACTTATGGTCATGTTAAATAATATTGACCAAAATAATTAAGATTTTTCCGCAAAAATTTATCAGAGCTACTTTTATAGCAATCTGTGTCAACATTTTTACTCAACTTAAATTCTAAGATTGTTTGTCTGTTGGTTTAAGAATCATGTTGATTCATTAAAATGAAGGCAAATGCCACTAAAAGATTCAGATTGGGTTCTGTATATTATGCAGGACTTTAAATAACTCTATATTTGTTTGGTACACAACATGCATACTGAACGGAAAAAACTCTAACAAAAAAAGTGGTCACTTTATTTTGAGGGTCTGTTTTTTGAATTTAAGTCACATTGCATCTACATGCCAACTAATTCTCATTAGATTTTAAGTCAGGGCTGCTCAATCCTGTTCCTGGAGATCTACCTTCCTGCAAAACACAGCTCTTACCCTGATCAAACACACCTGAACCAATTTATTAGGACCTGAACAGCACTTGATAATTACAGGCAGGTGTGTTTGAAATGGGTAGAAACTGAAATCTACAGGAAGGTAGATCTCCAGGAACAGGGTTGAGCATACCTGTTTTAAGTTGACTGTTAGGTTGGGGTTAGGGTTAGTATAAGTTGTCATGTACTTGCAAAGTTTCTTATAGTCAGTTAAATGTGAGTTGACATCAACAGATATTAAGCAGACTGTCTACTAATACTCAAATAGACCATCAAAATAAAGTGTTAGCAAAATGTTCATGTACCTTTTACACCTCTAATAAACGAGTTTAATAATTATAATTATAATTATAATTTTATGCTGAAGAAATGATTTTTCTCAATATTCATATTAATATATCAGTAGTTGTTGCTTATTAATAAATTAATGTCATTAATTGAATTTAATTGTCTCCTTTAGAGCTATGTGCTGATGTTGGACACATCCCTCTCTCGCTCCCAGTATGACTTCAAACTGCCACAGGTCTCCTTCACATCTTCTGGTTACCACAAACACGTAACACTAACATTTAACCCTAAGGTAAGAACTTGTCCACACAAAGCAGTGCACACAGTATATTTTATGTTTTTTTCCAATAATAGAGAAGTGATGGCCAGTAGGATTTCTGTAAATATAATTAGTAGGTAATGTAATTAGAAAACTTTTCTGCAAAAAGAGTAAAGGGATTGCTTTTCATCTTTATGTAATTACAGTTACTTATTCTAAACTATTCAAGGAGAGTAAGATAATGGAAAAATATTTTGCAGAATAGTTATATTTTTGAGCTAAAGAAGGTTACATTTATCAAGCAATGAAATTGAGTCAGAAATGAATGACAGTACATGGTATTTATGAAATATGATGTCATTACTTTTGTGTGGGTGTGTGGCACTAAACAAACTATTGCAACCATCTACATCCGTCGTAACTGCCTTTGAGAATGTAGAAAGCCTAGATTGATGTATTCTCTTTTTTTAATTAAGCTAAAAAGTGCTACTTGGCTCAAATGTAAAGAATTAAGAGTTTTAGTGTTTATGCATTTACTGTATATTTATAGAGCTTTTAAATAGTATCGAGTAAACTAATTAAATACTTATTGAGCAATTAAAAAACTATTTAAATAGAACTTTAATGATTTGATCATTAATTACTTTTTGAAGTAAATTACCCAACACTGCTATAGTTGAAAAAAAGCTTGTCCTGTCAGACACTGGACAGATATAAGGGCTGTAACGATACACGATATGAAATCGAAATCGCGACACTCAGATCTACGATCCTGTGTCGCGGTGTAATAAGGGAGAATCGCGACACACCCCGTACCTTTCCAATAACGTCACGCATGCCTGCAAAAGTTGAGCTAGTTGAAGAAGAACGTGAGGAAACAATTTTTTTCCGCTCGACATTACGAGCACTGCTCCGTTTAAGCCCTCGCAATAAGCGTTTAGCCGGGAGACCTTGCACGGAGCTCTTAGTAGGGACCGTCTGAATGTGTCAGGAATATCAAAAACAAAACCAACTTAACCCCGCTTGACAACAGACAACGGCAGAAACATTACCAGTGCTGTCAAAGCATTGTTGTTAATGTGGCTGCGCAGAGAGGGATGGGCGTTCCCCAGATGCCCCGACTCCTCTGCAGAGGAAACTTTTCTGTAACCGTGTGCGCTTTCTGGTTAACCCTTTGGGAGTTATGTTACATGCTGACTGACAGGTGCGTGATGCGTGAGGCCAGGAAACAGGACGAAGCTTTCAGTTAAGATGAACACAGTTTCTATAGTTATACTTTATTTAGAGATAAAGGTATATGACTCTGATTATAATCGCTCTATCTTGCTGGAGTTTATAGCCGTTTCGCTTTACTTCAGGACGCATTAATGCCGCTCTGAAGGTCTAATCGCTGTTTTAAGTTATCCAGAGCTGTATGAATGTACAAATCTCGAATATCACAATAGTATTAAATATTACAATTGTAACAACACAGACAGCAACACTTTTGCACAATCGATACCCAGCTGATTCAGTCGTTTCATAAGAGGACCGCGCTTCTTCTCTTCTTTTTTCCTTGTCAACATAAAGGCAGTGAGATGCGCCTTGTTTTCGGCTTATAAAGCATGTATGCACATTAATGCAATAGCATATTTAAACAACAAAACTGTTTACAAAAAGTCAACATATGCGCGCGTTGTTGTCGTTGTCTTTTCATCACGCAGCGCGCACTTGACCCGCGAGGGAGAGAGAGGAAACCATCAGGACATATTCTTTAAAATAATGATTTCTATTAAAAATGTAAAAGGTTTTGTGATTATAATAATAACAGCGGGGCATTAAATAAATGCATATTTTCCGTGGAGCGGGCAATTTGAGGAAGTCTGCGATTATTTATTTGATGGAAGAAAAAACATGATTGGAAAAAAACAGCCTATGATGGTTATTTAAAAAAATCAGTCAGTATTTTCGTTTTGTAATATAAATTAATTATTTAAATGAAAATTATTTAGGGCAGTCCTATTTATTTTATTCATTTTATTTAGATTATTCTGCTCTTCTGTGCTAAACACTGCAGGTGCGTGAAGATGCTCTGTTGTTCTGTTCTGTTATTAATATGCTAGCATTTAAAAATAAATCAGTAGCCTATTTTAAAATGCAATATTTAATTTGTTTAATATAAAATTAATAGTAATCTGACCAGTTGACCGTTAATAACCGATTAATGAGCGGCGGTTGTCCTTAGCAAAATTAACCGAAATGAGCATCCCTAGACTTTTTCTATGTAAGAGAACTTGATTGAAAAAGAATTTTCACCATGCTTGAACCATCTAAACAATGGAGTTTAGTTCTGTTTGGTTTTTCAACAGTATTTTGTTACAAAGAACACAAAAGTGATATAGCTTTGGCTATTTATTTATTTTATATAGGGCTATTTATATTGGTAATAATTTGCATAGTTAATATTGTTCTTTGACGTTTAGTTTATAAAGATTTTTCAAATGGTATTTAATAAAAAATAGTTTTAAAAATCTTTTTTTTTCCCACCACACACAAAACAAAAATCGTGATACGAACCGAATCGTGGGTCAAAAATCGTGATACGAACCGAATCGTGGGTTTGGTGTATCGTTACAGCCCTAACAGATATGCATGCTGTTTACTTTAAAGCGTTTGTAATGTGTTTTCCTCAAATTCTGCATGTAATTACATTAGTGTTAGAAGAGAGTTAATAGAATTGATTTTTTTTTAGTTTTTAGTCATGTGACCTGTTCGTAGACCCAGAGGGCAAAACAATGGGTCGTAATGGCAGCTTACACTGGGATCTCCATAGAAACGCAGCATAAGCTGGTCACATTTCCTTCTGTTTCAGGCTACAAATATATGGATCACATGTATGATACAAACACAAAATTGAATCCAAATTTACTTGCAATCCATCATTAAAAGCCATCAGGTCTCTGCCAGAGCTTGGTGATGTTTACATGTCTATCTCATGTAATGAAGAATCCTTTAGCGTTTCAGTCGTTGGTGACGGCAGTAAAGAAACCGTGTGTCTGATATACAGTATTTAATTCTAATTTTGTTTCTTTTGTTTGGATTAATATTTGCTCGTAGAGGAAATTAACTTCTGCTACTTACACTTTGACTTACACTTTGCATTTTCATTTATACTTTATAGCTGCACTTAACAGCAAATTAGAATAGATGCTGTAAAAAAACTAACAACAAATAGAAAATCGTAGACATCTATATGTACTTTAGATTGGGATTTGTCTATAATCACTCAGTTTGCGACTTGGCAGGTACAGCCAGGAGACAGCGCTGTTTTGGCCGCCAGGGGGGGGTGTTTCCCTAATGTTGTGACGTCACGTGAAAACTGTCAATAGTGACTAAAATAGTTATTTTGTATGTATGAATTTGCTTAGAAAGTTTGGTTCGACCTGTATCATTTAAACACTCCTCCTATTTTTTGCTCAATCTTTTAGTTTAAAAGAAATTGTTTGCTATTACTCAGATTCTGCACATAAATCTAAATAATTTATCTTCAACTTTTTTTATCTCGGTTGGAAATTTTTTTAAACATAAATAAAAATGCATGGCTTTAATCCCTACTTTTCAACATTTTCTGATTGGAGTTGACTCGCTGCTTAAATCCTTCCACATGTGTAATAGCAAAAATGACTGATTTATTTTATTTTATCTTTGCTATGATGACAGTAAATAATATTTTACTAGATATTTTTCAAGACACTTCTAAACAGCTTAAAGTGACATTTAAATGCTTAACTAGGTTAATTAGGTTAACTAAGCAGGTTAGGGTAATTGGACAAGTTATTGTATAACGATGGTTTGTTCTTTAGATTATTGAAAAAATATATAGCTTACAGGGGCTAATCATTTTGACCTTAAAATGGTTTTTAAAAAATTAAAAACGGCTTTTATTCTAGCCGAAATAAAACAAAGAAATCTTTCTCCAGAAGGGAAAATATTATCAGACATACTGTGAAAATTTCCTTGCTAAACATTCCTTGCTCTGTTAAACATAATTTTGGAAATATTAAAATAATTAATAATAATAAAGGGGGGCTAACACTTCTGACTTCAACTATATATATATACATACATACATACATACATATGCATACATACATACATACATACATACATACATACATACATACATACACACACATATATATTGTTTTGTGAGTCTGTTTTCTTTCAGCAGCTCATTTAGCTTGTATTTTCCCTCTTTTGTATCTCTCTTTTATTGATCTCCTGACTGGGCTGTAGATTTTCATTCTTGAATTAGAATAAAGTCATTAACAAAAGGTTATATACATAAATGTAAATTTTCAAACCAAAAACGTTTCTTTAATCAATTTTGCTTACTGAAATGCAGTATTACTTTAAAGCTATTTCTAGGTCTTTTACTAAAAAGGCTTTAAAAACAACTGAAATTTGAAACTGAAACTTATATAATCTTTTTTTTTAATGTATGATGTATATACCCCTTCTGTTTGTTTGTTTTTCTGTTGTTTTTTCCGTTTTTTTTTTTTCTTCTTTTTTTCTTTATAATGTACAGTGATTGTATATTCTCACTTTTCTCACATAATGAAAAATTAAATAAATAAATAAATATAATAAAGTCACCACTAAAAAGATGGTCTACAAGCATCAAAACAAGAGATATGTAGTACAGCTTTATGGTAAGCAGTTTTTCTGTTGCATTTTTAATACATTTTTATTTCTAGTTATTTTGCAAGATACTATAGTATTCAGCCTAATTGCAATTTAAAGATGTAACTAAGTTAATTGAGTTAACTAAGCTAAGCAAGTTAGTTTAATTAGGCAAGTCATGGGACACCAGTTGTTTATACTGTAGCCAATAAATGTTTACAAAAAATCCTAATTCTTATAATATTGAAAAAAGAATCCAGAAGAAAAATATTTTATCCACACAGCCAAACTAAAAGAAATTAGACTTTGCTTAGAAGAAAAAAATAGAATAGGAAATACTGTCGAAATGGGGCAGCGCTGTCACCTCACAGCAAGAAAGTTGCTGGTTCGAGCCTTGGCTGTGTCAGTTGGCATTTCGCTGTGGTGTTTGCATGTTCCTCCCGTATTCGCAAGGGTTTGCCCTGGGTGCTTTGGTTTCCAAAGACATGCTCTATAGGTGAATTGAATAAGCAACATTTTTTTCGTAGTGTGTGAGTGTGAATGGGAGTGTATGGGTGATTTCCAGTGATGGTGCCTCTGTAAGGGCATCCACTGTGTAAAACTTATTTGGCGGTTCATTTCGATGTGGCGACCCCTGATTAAAAAAAGGAATTAAGCCGAAAAGAACATGAACAAATGAATGCTGAGAAAACTTGCTAGTTTCAAATGCCATTATTGCTAATATTGAATGTATCACTCACTACTAATTCCTCTCTATCTTTTTGGCTCTCCACAGAGGAAAATACCAGACCAAGATGTTGCCCAGGGGTCTTTCATCGCCCTTCCTCTGACATTGCTACTGTTGCTTGCTGTTTATAACCATGAGCGGGTACTTGCTGCTTTTTTTTTTTAAAGAAGCTTGACATTTATAACTGCTACCGTCCTACAACTTCATGTAAATAATAATACTGTGTCTTTCCCAGGTGATTCCTCTTCTTCTGCAGCTGGTCAGTCAGATCCAGGGCGTTCGAGGACTCGCTCAGGCAAGCGGAGATGGGCTTCCTGTGGATGAAGCCAAACGTCCATCAAAACGGCCGAAGACGAGACGTACATGAGACTCCAGTATCACAAAGCTAATCACTGCATTCTGATCTCACAAACATCTAGCGTCATCATGTTGGTCTGATCACAAAATCTTAACAAATCAACCTCACTTGGGGTCGCCAAAGTGTTTTTGGGCCGTATATTTATTGCTGATTCTCAGATGACTCCAGTTTTTTTTTTTTTTTTACGGTAGTGTTCTGGTCACACAGATCCCTATAATTTACAGTCCCTTGCATGTGAATGTGGCTCAGAGATCTATTTTAGTTTGTGAGAGTTTGCTCAGGGAGGATGGCTGATTTATAAAACTACAATTGGGTGTGCGTTTTTGTTTTTCACTAGTATACAAAAAAAAATCAACCGATTAATTTATTGCTTGAAAATTCCAGTAGCGTCATTAATAAATAGATGTTTATTAATCCCCAATTAAAAGAATTAATGAATTGTAGAATTCTTTTGTAATTTGCAAACTTAAACACGAATGTGTTTTAAAATAGAGGTTTGTTTAATATACTTGAAAATTGTTTCATCAGATTCATTTTTATGATGTTTTGCCTCCCTAACTTGTTTATATAAAAGACAACCAGCAGCTTACAATTTCAGTCCCTTTAAAGTAATTGACCTGCTGCTACCATTTGATGGGTTCAGTACATATTCATTCCACTTCATAAAAAGCATCAAAATGTGATGATGTAAATGGTTCTAGAGAGCATTGGTAATAAAATGTTTTGGTAAAGACTCTTTGTTTTGCCTCTGAAATCCACAAAATGGCAGTATGTTTATGTAAAATTATGATTTTATATTTATATATATATATATATATATATATATATATATATATATATATATATATATGCATACAGTGGGGGAAATAAGTATTCAAAACACCATTTTTCTCAGAAAACATTTTTCTAAAGGTGCTGTTGACTTAACATTTTCACTATGTTAGATAACAACCAAAGAAATAGATGGATGATAAGAAAACAAATCTAATTAATTTACAAATCAAGTTATGTGTAATAAAATGAAATGACAGTCAAAAAAGTATTGAACACATGAAGGGAGGTGTTAAAAGGCAGGGAAAGCCAAGACATCTCTCATGAGATTTTCAGAAACCCTCTGTCCTTCATCAGTGTAAGTTATTATTAGTTGCTTCACTCTAATATCTACATTATCAAAATGATGAAAATGAAACCAGGTTGGGCATTTCAGCAAGATAATGATCAAAAACACAGCCAAGGAAACTCAAAATAATAGTTTCAACTCTCAAAAAGTTTCAGAAAAAAATCAAGTTGTCGAATGACCCAGCCAATCACCTGACTCAAATTCAGTAGAAAATACAAAAAAGACCAGTTTGGAAAGGCGAGACCAACAAAACCATCAAGATTTATACACTCTGTTGAAGTCTGTGAAAAAAATCACACCTGAGCAATGCCTGCGACTTAATTTTCCACATGAGAAGGATCTTTAAGCTGCCATCACCAAAAAAGCGTACACTTCATCAAATAGTCAACTTTATTACTGTAGTAGTTTTTATATCAAGATAATAGCCATAAAACTAGATCAATTCTGAAACGAAACCCAACACATCACACAAGTGTAAGTTCAATCCAACACATTTTAATGTATAAATAGAAACTTTTTTTTTATTTGATATAAATATATAAATTTGATTATTTTGTGTTTATAGAATAAAATCTTTCCTGCTGGTTTGCGATGTTGATTGCTAATTAATAGTATAATAGTGGTAACACTAAGAAGACAATTAATTATAATTACATGCAACTAATCCATCCATATACACTCTCAGAATAAATGGTACAATGTTGTACCAGATAAGGTACTGTAAAACCCCTTGTTACTCGGGCAGTACCTTGTTATGGAACAGAATTGTATCTTAGACAAAGAAACAAATTCGTACTATTGCAGTTTGTACCTTTAAGGACATGATATGTATCATAGGAAACCAAAATGTACCTTTGGTTTTTAAAACCTGCAGATACAATATTCTACCTTCATCAAAAGTACAAATCTGATCCATGAAGGTATCATTACAGTGACAAGACACTTTGTACCTTAACAGTGTCAAATGTGTTCCTTCAAGAACTATTAAAAAGCATTTAGCTCAATCCAAAGTGCGTCAATTCATTTTCAGTAAATATCAAACATCAAATACATTTACTAGACAATGTTTTTAAAAAAGGTTTCTGTGTAAATGCACCTTTTCCATTTACAATAAAGAATAAAAAATACTTCAACATAAATCAAAAGATCTATTTTTCGTTAAACATTTTAAAACACCACAAGAATGTTACAGAAATGCATTCTTCCATGTACAATATAAAAAAAAATTCTGCAATTTTCACACAATATCTTTGCAATCAATTGAAATTAATTTAATTTACTAAGTTTTAAAATAGAATTAGAATTAACCAAAGTATTGTAATGAAATCTGCACAATGTTTGATTAGTTTTACAATACTAAAATGTTTGCATGAACACTTTGCATATGCAGGACTTTTGCCAGCTCATATGCGTATTGGAAAGCAAATGGCAAAAGGTGCGGATATCAATAATGAAAATGTATTTATTAGAAAAAACAATTATTTCTTAAAAATGCCTTAAATGTTTAGTTTAAATACCTATAGTTTTGTTTTACCAGTTGTTTTGTAGAACTTAATAACTAATGTTTATGCTTTTAAATGATGATTTATGTTTTAATTGAAATTATTCATAGATGACTTCGCCTTTCCAGTCATATTTATTTTTATAGTTATTGTAATAAAGAAGGAGTTGTCCAGTTGTTCTAGAGAAAAATTGTGTACCTTTATTTCAGTTGTCTTACAAAAGGTACAGAACAGCATCATAAGAGGTCTTTACTGTACCATATAAGGTACAACATTTACAAAGGTACAAAACTGTATTTAATGAACATTATTTGTACCACCGTGTACCTTTTTTTCTGAGAGTGTAGCAAGTACATGTAGTCAAATAATATTACTCATTATTTACATGGGAAACCTTTCTGTTGTTCTATTAATGGGACAAGAAGTTTTGAATCACATAATCATTGCAGGTTACATAATGTAAATTCACATAATTGTAAAATAGTATCATTGTTGAATAATGGCAGACAACAACACAAAAGAATCACAGCTAAATAGATTGAACTGAATTTCTAGAAATTATATCAAATTAATTGTTCCCATTTATTAGTTTCATATTAAGTAAGAACGTTATATTCAATGACCATGGATATATTGGCGAGGTCAAGATGTTTAAGTTGGGAAAATCTGTGATTTTATACGATTGTAATTCATTGCATGTAGCTTTCAAAAGAAGATGAACGTAAATATATCACGTCATGTCACGTTCCCATCTGATGTGTCAGTATTAAAGTGATACACAGTAGTTTCTACTCATGAACGCTATAATTTCCACATATTGACCATAGATTATAAAACTATGCACAGACTATAGCGACCATATGAAACAAAAGAGTTTAAATGTGCAATTCACTTTCCCTTTGTTCACAATTTACCTGACAGTAGTAATGACAGCAATTACAGGTCACTCAAACATAATTGCATATTATACATCCAAAGGAGCTGAGAAGTTCAAGTGATTACATTATTTTAGGAAATTAAGAGACCACTTGATAATTCTCAGTTTTTGGAATTGACATTTTATAGTCATGTGTCTGAGTAAAATAGAAAGAATTTTCTTTCCTTTGCATAAAATAACAAAAATGAGCTATGTTTGGAAAAATTCCTATTCATTTTTATTTGATTTAGTCATTTGTTGTGTTTATATTGTTGTGAAATAGGCTAATTATAGGCCTATTTCAAATCTTCCATTTATGTCTAAAATACTAGAAAAATGTTGTTTCTGTCCAATTATGCTCCTTTCTGCAGACGAACAATGTTTTTGAAGTGTTTTAGTCAGGTTTTAGGGTTCATCCCAGTTCAGAAACCGCATAAGTGAAAATAATCAATGATCTACTCTTAGCTGCTGACCAAGGGAGCATCTCGCTATTAGTTTTACTTGATCTTAGTGTGGCATTTGACACCATTGACCACAATATCCTCATGAATCGCTTACATTCTACAGGTGTCCAGGGACAGGCTCTATAATGGTTTAAGTCATAGCTGACCATTACCATTTTGTGAATAATGGACAAGTCAACCCAGTAAAGTATAGGGTGCCTCAAGGATCAGTTTTAGGCCCTTTGCTGTTTACAATATACATGCTTGCTACTCCTGGGAGACATTATTAAAAGACATGGGATCAACTTTCTCTGCTATGCAGATGATGCTTGATTGTATATTTCAACTAAACCTGATGAGATGTCTGAACTGTCTAAGCTAACTGAGTGTATTAAAGATGTTAAAGACTGGATGACCAACAATTTTTTCTCTTAAACTCAGACAAAACAGAATTATTACTTTTTAGGCCAAAATCCTGTACACAGCAGATCTCACAACTCGACCTACCATTAGACGGATACAAAGTTATCATTAGCTCTACTATGAAAGATCTGGGTGTCATATTAGACAGCAATTTAACTTTTGAAAATCATATCTCCCATGTCACAAAAACTGCCTTCATCTTAGAAATATCGCTAAGTTATGACGTATGCTATCTATCTCAGATGCAGAAAAACTAGTCCATGCTTTTATGACTTCTAGGCTGGATTACTATAATGCTCTGTTTGCTGGTTGCCCAGCATCCTCTATTAACAAACTTTAGCTAGTACAAAATGCAGCTGCCTGAGTTTTTACCACGTCTAGAAAATATGAAAATATCACCTCAATTTTCCTCCTTACACTGGCTGCCTGCTAAGTTTCGTATTGAATTCAAAATATTGCTTTTTACCCATAAAGCTTTAAATAGTCTAGCTCTTGTTTATCTAACCAACCTTCTGTCTCGCTACAATCCAACTTGCTCTTTAAGATCTTAAAACTCAGGGTCCCTAGAATAGCAAAGTCAAGTAAAGGAGGTCAAGCCTTCTCATTTATGGCTCCTAAACTGGAATAGCCTTCCTGATAATGTCCAAGGCTGACACACTCTCCCAAATCAAAACTACATTAAAGACTTATCTGTTTAGTAAAGCATACACTCAGTGCATCACTTAGCTATATGATACATGAATGTGCACCACGCAGGTTTCTGCATCTCCTTTATATACACTATGAACAGCAGCTACGCTAATTATTCTCTTTATTCTCTATTCCCACCTGGGGATACTCATCCCGAGGCCCTCAGACTATGCAGCGCCACTGATTCGATCCAAGACCAGCGACAAGATGATCCCAAGGTTTCCATATCCTGGATCAGGCTCCTGAGCAGCTGCCGTGGTGGTCATGGAGGAGTGGAGAGCATGAGACTGTTTCCTGTGACTCTTCGCTGAGGTCCTGCTTTCCAGCCTAGACTGCAGCTCTGCACAAGACGTGTGGCCATAGGAGAAATGGTCATGCCCAACTGAGCCTGTTTTCTCTCGAGTTTTTTTAATTCTTCACTTTCGCCAATTGGTGAATTCTTTTTCTTACCGCTGTCGCCTCTGGCTTGCATGGTTTGGGAACTGAAAACTGAACAACACTGTTTTAATTTATTATGATCTTCTATGAGAAGCTGCTTTGACACAATCTACGTGGTAAAAGCGATATAGAAAATAAAGGTGAATTGAATTGTCACAACAGGTATATTTAAATCTGTATGTTTTTATATAAGAAGCGTTAA